TTATAATTATTTGGATAAAATAATCAAAATTGAATGAAAAAAGTAAATATTAAAACAGACTATTTAGAATTTCCAAAACTTAATTAAGTTTATTTACTCTTTGTTGGTAATGTTTTTACCTTTAAAGATTAATATTTAACCTTTGACATTTTAATGATTTATTTAATTATATTTATTATTTTCAATTTTGTATTTTTTGTTCATTACAATCTACTATTTTTGGCCATCTTGTGTATTTTATCCTTTTTAGGCAGTGTCCATGAAAATATCAATATAACTAAATAAAATTACATAGATCCCTGTAATTAACTATTTTATTTATTAGATAATAAGCTCGATAAGAAAATAGTAGCTCAATAACTACTTTTCGATCAGAATTTCAGATTTTATTGACATGTTACAGTAAAGGCAGGATCTGGATACGTAGGTGTTGTTTTTGTCACTATTTATCTTCGCAACTTTCCTCCCACCTCGATAAAAAATGTAAATAACTCTCGTTATACTGAACCAAAAGTTGTTTCGACCAGTCATTTTCTTAGTTAAATAAGCTATTTAATTCATTTAATTGTCTCTTGAAAAAAAATTACTTTTATAAAAACATACTTAAAATATAAGGGATTAATCAGAAGCTCTAAGAACAGTTATGAAAATGAATGTTGAAGGAAGAAGAGAAAGACCAAAAAAGAGATACAAGGATATTATTGGATGCCATATGTACTTATATGTGCGTAGATAATGTGGGAGATAGTGTTAAGTGGAATTTTAGGATAAGGGTGGCCGAACTCAAGTAGTTGGGATAAAGATGAGGAAAAAGAAAAAGAAGAGATTTAAATTCTTCTTGATAAATAGATCACCATATTCTACCTTAATAATCTCCAGGAGAATATTCTCTATAATTCTCGTTATTTAATCAAAATCTTTTTTTTTAAACTTGAATTATTAAATTAAAGTTTATGGAGGTTTATGTTCAAACACAAAAATATGACATGAAGTACCTCTATTATGAATAACTTTTTATATTATATTTTAAGTGAAATAATTAAAAAATTAAGCTATATTAATTGATAAAAACGTCACGTAATTGTAAAATTTTTGGCTATCTTTAAGATAGAACACAAAGATTTTTTAAATATCATTGAAAAATCAAACAAATTTTTTTTTGTGTGTTTATCATTAGTTATGGTTATTGTAGAACATAAATTATTTATATATTGTTCTTGGTTATTTTCTTATGTCAAATTTCGTAACTCATTAGTACTTAGATAAATAGCCTTTCTCAATTTTATAATATCCTATTAAGTTTAATGTAATATTGTTGAGTATTATTTTTTACAAAAATTAAAATGTACTGATGGGTATCAACTTTTTCATGATGTTTAAGATGAAACCTTACACGTTTGTTTACAAAATAATTATTTTTTCACACTTCAGAAAATTGTATATTTCTAACGTGCACTATATATTTAATTGTCGTAATTTTGTCACTATCATATAATTATATAGTTAGTTTTTTAATTCGAAGAGTTTTAACTATTAATCTAATTAACAACATTTTTATGTCTTAAAAAATTGATCTTTTTTATATAATTATATACAATTTTGATGCTAGAAATCGCGGAGCCTTATTTGAAACAATTTTGTGGGGCTCTTTATATGTATTAACTTGGTTTGCGGACCAAGACCCTACGGTCTTGCACTCGCCATGTAAAGGCTCTGAATAAATCGTACTGTTCAATAAATAAACTATTAATTAAGATTCTGCATTATATCTACACAGCTCGTAGACAATACATGGATATGTTATAAATAGAACGCTACCAAATTGTAGACCAATCAATAATTTTTAACTAGTTTACTTTTAAATAATCTTTTCAACTACATTCTAGTTTTGTAAATTCTTTTTTAGTTGTGTATTAAAATGATGTTATTTTTAGAGGTCACTTTTTCTATAAAATTTATTTACATCAAATAATTGCCGGTTTGTTTTTTTTTTTTTTTTAATCAATTTTAAACTTGTTTGAAAAATATGTAAGACTTAATTGTGAGATTAAATAAACATGTTACTAATGTAATATCCTGAACTGTTATCATTAATCAGCATAGATTATACTAGCTAATACACGTTTTGGCACCGACAATCTTTTTGCAATATTGAAAGTATTATTATTACTGATTCTAAATTTTCTCTTAATTTTTAGTATATTAATAAAAATTCTGACAAAATCTAAGATCGAACCTGTTCTTATGAAGTTTAAAATTTAAAATAAGGTTATATTATTATGCTATTAATAGTCGAAATGTTCTAATTATGACATATTTTTATGTAAATAAACTGTTATGTATTTGTAATAATTTAATTAATAAAATAAAATTACTTCAATTAAATTTAAACAAATATTTAGTGGTAAACTTTAAAAAATTTTTTTATTTTTTTGAGAATCTTTTCATTGAATTTTGATCAGTAGTGTCATTAAGAAATCATAAATCGTGATATAAATATCTTATCTACCTTGCTAGTTCAGTTTTTTTAATTCCTTTAAATTCTAATTAAAACTCAATATTTTCCTCTCAAAACCTAAATTACTTTGTAAATAATATAATATACTCTTATTACATCTAAGTTCATTGGAATTTTATTAGTATCTATTAAACAAATTCAATTATATTTAGTAAATTTTGAGCTATTCATTATTTCGTTTTTAAAAGTCATAATTTTGTTTTAAGTAGATAAAATTTATATAGAATTTAAATTTTGTAAACCTTACAACTTTTTTATGAGTTTATATCATATTTATGACTCTGGAGTAAACCTTAAAGAAATTATATTGATTATGTCAGCTTTGTTTTTGAAAAATAATTTAAAATGTCAACTTTAAAGGCTTGTTAGAGTAGATTAAACTTAATTTATTTTTTGTCATAATTTTATCACGCAATTTTTCAACTCTCTAAATTTGAGTAAATATTTTAGAAATTAGAGTTGATACGGAATATCTAAGGGCAGATTTGAAATTGGTGACAAATATACTTTCAGTGACAACAAAAAAATTGCCGGCACCCACAAAAAAATGTTCTAGCTACCAATGGCTTATGATAAATTGAGGTAACAAAGTATAGGGGAATTCTTTTAGAAAATACTTTTTATCCATTATTTCTCTTAGAATAATATTTAATGTTAATAAAATAATTTTTGGTATTTTTTTTTTTTTCATATTTTTCTCGATTTTTCAATAATATTTTTTTTAATATTCCTTATAAGAATTTTAACTTAATTTTTTAATTACAACATACAAATTAACTAGGTTAGAAAATAATAATAAATAAGAAAAAATTGGTCTTTCGCAACTTTAGAGCTATTATTCTAGAAGTTATAACTATATTATATTTTATCAGAATTATTAAATACAGAGTGGTGATGAAGTGTGTGTTATTTTATTAGTTTCTATGCGAAACTAAGGAGGTATTAATTTTCCATGATGTATTTTTTTTTTTACTTTTTAACCTAATAAGAAAGTGGCCTTTTATGTTTTTTACAACAAGTTTAAAATGTATACTTATACCATTAACATGTACTGTTTTTGTGTTTATAGAAATAACAATCTGTTGCTTTAGATTAAAAAAAATAGGATTAACCTTGATCCAATAGCCAGAAAAAAAATAAATAAAATGAATGTAAAATAAGTACATCTTGTTACAATCTAATAGCGTCTGATTTTTGTTTTACTACGCTTTTTAACTATGAAATTCTACGTTGCTTCTCCTTTTCTCTTTCTTTCCTACTCTCATGACTCGGTATTATAAACCAAATAAAACAAAAATCATATCCCGTGAAAGGTTGAGTGGGGGTGGACAAGTAGTAGTCGGTTGTTGCGTGTCATCGATGTGAATCCTTAATGTGCGGTGCTACTAGGAAACTGGTCTGGTAACTACAACAATACTACTTTTATTGATGATGGTTGTTGCCGTATTACCGGTGGCATTACAGTGAGTTACCCGCGTGTAACCGCTTTAAAACTTTTTAAATATTGTCCAATGTATTTCGATTTATCTTTATTATGAGTTTTTTTAGATATTGTTAGTTTTTCCTTGAAATTTAATTGTATATACATAAAATGTTCAATATGTTGTGAATATAATTTGGTTTATATTATCGCATTAAAATTATTGTGAAATAAAAATTTAAAAAAATCAACATTGACTTGGTAATTTGATATTATGGTTGTGTATGTGGAAAGTGTAAGATAAAATTAATTTTTTCTTTTAACAGTAATTACCAATATCACGTAAAATCTTAAGTATTAAATATCTTAAAAGTTAAATAACTTAGACTCAAATAGAAATATTTTCGATAATAAAATCAATAAAGTTTTGCGTATCTTCTTTTCCTCATTGCTTAACATTGTCCTTTCACAACATTGTCATTCATCCTTAAAAATTATCTTTTAGATAAGTTAATTAATATTCCTTTATCTCGACGCATTTATTTTTAAACTTTTATTCAGCAATTATTATTTGTATTTTTTAATATATAATTTTAACACATTATATCTGTCATTGGAGATGGTTTTTGATGTCATCATTTTATTTTATTCGTATTAATGAAAAAAATCTACAAGCAAAGATGGATTGTTATTTAATTAAATAAAGCAACAAAGCGTGAAAATTTTAATTTATTGAGTTCTGGAAAGATACAGCACTACACTATAACAATAATCTTAAATCGATAATGAAGTAAAAGCGGTACGAATTGTTTTGTGATACACAACATTGTAGTACAATGCAATATTTCTTTTAAAATATTTGAACATTTTGATAAGTAGCTCAACAAATATAATTCTGTAAAATATTTTTGTTTTTACTCTCTGAATGATTATTAAATCAAATTATATTCAAGTAGATTTATATAAAAAAATGTATTATTTAAAATTTTATTAATTCAATTGAACTTTATAGTATTATTTACAAAAATTATTTGAAATTTCAAATACCATTGTATTTTACAGTATCCATCAATGACGATCCTATACGATCCAACTATTAGAAAAGACTCCACAACCAATGGTGTTGCATCACCACAATTTGCTACTGAACAAGAACTTTGTCTTATGTACTTTGATAAATGGAGCGAACAACATCAAATCGACTTTGTCGAACACCTATTATCACGAATGTGTCACTATCAACATGGACACATAGATACTTATTTAAAACCAATGTTACAAAGAGACTTCATATCACTTTTACCCAGTGAGAATATTTTATATTTACTGTTATGGTAAATAATAATATATCAAAATTATAATTAACACTTAATTATTTTAGAAAAAGGCCTAGACCATGTTGCTGAAAACATTTTATCCTACTTAGATGCTGATTCTTTATATTCTGCTGAATTAGTTTGTAAAGAATGGTATAGGGTAATTTCGGAAGGCATGCTTTGGAAAAAATTAATAGAACGTAAAGTTCGTACTGATTCATTGTGGCGAGGACTGGCAGAAAGGAGAGGATGGTATTTAAAATTTTGATAATCTAATTAGTTTATACATTTTTTATGTTTGTGTATATATTTAGGATCCAGTACTTATTCAAACCAAAGCCAGGTGAACATCATCCTGATCATTTCTCCTACAGAGCATTGTTTCCTAAAATAATACAAGATATAGAAGTATGTAGATATCTTTTTCTAACAATATGTAGTTTTAAATCAATAATTTATTTTTACAGAGTATAGAATCTAATTGGCGAACTGGCAATTTTCTTTTACAAAGGATAAATTGTCGGTCAGAAAATTCGAAAGGTGTTTATTGTTTGCAATATGATGACAATAAAATTGTCTCTGGTTTACGTGATAATACAATTAAAATATGGGATAGAAATACATTAGAATGTGTTAAGGTACTATTATATATATAACATGAAGCGATTTAATTATACTATTTTAAATTTAAAAATAAATTATGATGAATCTTTAAGTTATGTCAAAAAAAATATTTTATTCATCTATCAATTGAATAATTGAATTTAATTAATAATATCGTATAGTGAATTTTTTAGCCTAAAAATTTTTATTCTAGCAAATATCTAAAATATTGTAATTTTATTAGGTTTTAACGGGCCATACTGGTTCAGTTTTATGTTTGCAATATGACGACAAAGTGATTGTAAGTGGTTCTAGTGACAGCACAGTACGTGTTTGGAATGTTGCAACAGGAGAAATGGTGAATACATTAATACACCATTGTGAGGCAGTTTTACATCTAAGATTTAGTAATAATATGATGGTCACATGTTCAAAAGTTTGTATTTCTTTATTAAACTATAAAAATATACTGTTTGTAAAATATAAATAATTTCTTATATTTTAGGATCGATCAATAGCTGTATGGGATATGGTTTCTCCTAGTGAAATGACTTTGCGACGTGTTCTAGTTGGTCACCGTGCAGCTGTAAATGTTGTTGATTTTGATGATAAATATATTGTATCTGCTTCTGGTGATCGTACAATTAAAGTTTGGAATACATCTAGTTGTGAATTTGTAAGAACCCTTAATGGTCATAAGCGTGGTATTGCTTGTCTACAGTATAGAGATAGATTGGTGGTCAGTGGTAGTTCTGATAATACTATCAGGTAATAAAAAAAATTTTACATACCTTATAATTATATTTATAAATTTATATGTTGTAAAATGCCACTATATGATACCTTAATTTTAGTTAATCAATTATTATTCACGTAGGCATAACATAAGTAAAATATTTTTCTTCTGCCTAAAATATCATTTTTATTTTACAGTAAACATAATTTTCTAAACAAAATCTAATGAAGCTAATTTGTGAACTGGTGTACTAAGCTCTCTTGGTTGTCCAATTATGCTTATTATATTAATTAAAAAGTTAGATGAACAGTTTGAAATAAATAAAAACTTCTATAGAATACACACATAACTAGGGATATTTTTGTACAAATAAATTGATAAAAATAAATCACTATGTATTTATTTTTGTCTAAGAAAATACATACAACACTTGTATAAATTATATTTACTTATATAGATTATGGGATATTGAATATGGTGCTTGTTTAAGAGTACTAGAAGGTCATGAAGAACTAGTGCGATGTATTCGATTTGATAGTAAAAGAATTGTCAGTGGAGCTTATGACGGGTAACTAACTAATATTAAAAAAAATTCATATTTTACTTTATATATATTTTTTAATTCTCAAAAATTAGGAAAATTAAGGTATGGAATTTGGTAGCAGCATTAGATCCTCGAGCATTATCATCTACTTTATGTTTGCGTACACTCATGGTAAGCGTTTGCACTACATAACCTTTTATGATTTTTTGTTCTTTCGTGATTAAGAGAGGAGGAATTTTTGTCCGGTAGGAGCACACGGGACGAGTATTTCGTCTTCAGTTTGACGAGTTTCAAATTGTTAGCTCATCACATGATGATACTATTCTTATCTGGGATTTTCTTAACTATAATGATAGAAATAACTCAGCAGCTGGTCCATCAAGTAATGCTGTACTGCATGCTGGTAATTTACCTCATCCAAGTGATTCTCTGCCTCCTTTGCCACCAGGTATATTAAATAATTATTAGAAATAAACCATACACCAAAATAAAAGTAACATATTCCTTTATATTTATAGGTTTTGAGTAACTTTATGAGTTATAGTCATGCGTAATTGACAAAGTACAAAATTAGTACTTGCTTAAAGAATCACAATTATAAGATGTTATAGAAATCTTATTATGACATGTTCTCAGTTATAATTATTTATAATATATTATATTATATATATTAGTATTAATATATATTTATATATATATATATATATAATATAATGTAATTTAAACTTACAGAAATGCCCAAATTTAACTGTGCCAAGAATTTTCCTGTTTTTATCTAGATACATTTGATATTCCCTGATTGATAAATGTTTGTACATTATCTATTTCATCTTATTTTTAATCATGTCTGTGATTTTTCATATATAGAAATTTCCTACAAAATTTATCATCCAATGAGTTAGTGCAATGTCACTTTAAAATTTGTTCTGTTGACATTTTTTTCAAAGAGAATTCAAAGTATGTATTCTTCTTTCTTTCACTTATGCAACATTTAAATCAAAATTTTAATTAAATATTTATAGTACTAGTTATGCCAAAAGATGTCAAATTTTTAACACTTAAATTTTCATTACACTTGAAATTAAAATATGAATTGTGGCTACTTAAAATATATTTTTAAAAAATTATAAAGATTAATATACTGTAATAGTAAAATTTCATTTAATTATGTTGCATATTGTGCTAGAGCAGCTAAAATAAAAATGGTTTGAATTCCTACAATAAAAATTCATCATGTGTAAAGACACATGTATGTTTGTTAAAAAATTGATTTTTTGTTTATGTACTAAAAATTGGATATTGCATCAACACTAATATATGTATAGTCCTTATTTGAATAAGTTTTTTTAAAAACTGTATAAAAGTGATTTTGTATAATTTATATAATTATTATTATAAAATACAAATTATATTTAAAAAAAAAAAAAAACAAATATAAAAGAGTATTTTTATTGACCATCAACCTTACATTACTCCTTAAAATTACATCCACGGGTATCTGGTAACTTGGACATAAATTTATTAACTAAAAACTAATTGGAGTTGCATACTTTAGAATACCAATGTTTTGATTGGTAGCATCGATCATTACAACAATGTGCACATCTTAATAGAAATTTAGGTCCAACAGTTATATTATCACGTAAATGTTGTGATACTATATCAGAAATTGCATCTATGAACAAGGGATGATCGTTTGGAGCTGCAGCTCTACGAATATTTTCTACACCCAACTAAAATTTTTTTAGATAATTAATAAATAAAATAATGTAATCTAATAATAAATTTATCTAATGTTATCTAAAATAACATACTTCTTCTCCCAGTTCTTTACAATATTCTATATCCAATTCATGTAATGTTTCAATATGTTCATTAACAAATGCAATGGGAACCAAAATAAAGTTTTTTTTTCCTTGCTTCACATAACCTATTTTACAAAATGTGAAATATATTATTTTTTATAAAATCTTAAAATAATGTTAAATCATGCAATCAATATATCAACAACGGAGAGGGAGAGTTATAGGCGATATCTTCAGATAGAATACACTCTCAAATTCTATTAAAATTAATAAAATTTACATTTATTTTATATATGATACTTTATAGGGAGAGAAAACATGTAATTTAACATTTCAATATTAACAAGTGATTATTGTAGAAAATATTATTTTCTATAATGACATATTTATAATTGGGGCTCAAGGTTAAACTCGCTTTAAAAATGTTCATATTACAATATAGTTGTTATAAGTCTAGAAAATTTCAAAGTCACATCGCGCTAGATTAAATATTGATATTAGATTGTATATGTTTGTAGAAATTTATAAAGAAAAAATTAAATAAACAATTTAATTTTTTGAAAATAAAAATTAAAGAATGAAACTAATAAATACTCAATTTGAATCATTTGCATTTCAAGCACTAATACTTTTTAAATTTTAACTATGTTTTAAATGTTTAATTAAAATAAATAAATTGTTTTATAAACATATTAATTAATATAAAATTTTTGCTGTAAACCTTTAAGAGCATCATCAGTAAAAGGTCCTAACCATGGCAATGGGCCAACTTTGGATTGCCATACCAATGCATAAGGATTAGTATATCCAATTTCTTCCATTACTGCATGTACTGTAGCACTAACTTCAGATGGATAAGCATCACCACGATTTACGGCCTAATAGCAAAATTGTTTGTTATACAATGCTTTACTTAAGAAAAAAAAATATATAAGCCAATATAGGTGATACTAATTTTGAGACACTCATTTTCTCTGAAAATATAAATTGTTTGTAATGAGTAAAAATATTAGGTTCAAAGAACTCTACAAAAATACAATTAAAAAAATATTAGAGAAAATATCAACCAAAAAAAATTTTTATTATTTCAAACAACTTTCTCTAATTACTTTTATTAAATTTTGTTTTTAAACCATGTAAATTTATAGGTACTTTATCTAAATAATCCAGTTAAAAAAATTTTTTTTTATTGGTAATGACATTTCTCTGATCTTACACCAACATGATGTTTATATAATTTTTCTTCATCATATTTAAATTTATAGAATAAGTATGTATTTAAATTTTGTAATGGATGAACTTTCCAGAACATAAATAAATTTTGTTCAATATTATCAAGTTAAAAATAGGAGTTTCTATTTAAAATAATTAAATTTAAGTTTTTTTTAACCTAAAAAGATAAAAAAATATTTAACAACAAAATATTAGTTTTTTGAACATAATACTTAATTAACATTACAAAAAATCAAAATTCTGAATAGTTTCAAAGAAAATGAGTGTCTTATCAAATTTGAATCACCAAATATATGAGTTAAATAAAATACTTCACTAACAAGAAAATTTTCAGTTCTAAAATTGGAAAAATAAATTAAAAGTAGCAAAAGATTTTATATCACAGTATTGTGTATATATTTTAGATAAAACTAATAAAATTATAATTAGGTTAAATAAAAAAAACTTTGAACCTTTAAGGGTAAAGAGTGAGCTGAAAATAATATGACAACATTATTTCTATCAATTTCTTTAAATTGTTTTATTTCATCAGAAATTCTTGATCCAATAGCTTTAATCAATAAAGGATGTGTAGCCCATCTATCAATTACACTCATTTTGATGTTATCAGGAAATTTTCTAAAAATAGTTAAAAGATTTTAACATATAAAATAAATTGTAAGTTTCTAATTTTTTAACTTAGTGATAAAATTTTTAAGTCTTACTTTTTTTGATAATATGAATAAATTGCATTAAAACTTGATCCAGCAGTAGCACAGCTATATTGAGGATATTGGGAAAATAATACTATCCGTTTAGCACCATCTCTGAAAAAATAATATTAAATGGTTAATATAAAAGAGGCATAGTATAATATATCATCAAATAGTGGTATATTTATTAAGTGATGAGGTATGTTTTAAGAGTAATTGTCTTTTTTTTAAGTAGAATAGATCATCTTAGACTAAAATCAAATTTGCTGGAATTTTAAGAGGCCTAAAATATTTCTGCCCTTACTAAGATTTAGATATTTTTCTGTATTTTAACTGCAATAAAAAAGCTATAAATATTTTAAAATTGATTCAATTTTCTTATAAAAATATAACTTTTCTTTTGTCTGGAAAGTCTTATGTTACACTGTCAACATTTATTGTTATCTTGGAAAAGGTTAATATTTCATTGCAAATTGTCAAAATATGCATATCCACTTAAAATTACCTTATAAAATATAGTTGTACAGGAGGCATAGGGTCATTTTTTTAATTCCTCTCCATAGGTAGATATTAGGTATCATTTTTAGTAGGGCTAAAATAAGTAAAAGTAAAGTGATTAGGCACTCTTCTTTAACATACTTTCATAACATAAATAAATTTTAATTTAGGAGCTATGCCTATTCAATGCTCAACTATATGTCTCACTAACCAAAAGAACCATACTTATCCAAAGGCAAAATCTATTAGAAAAATTGAAATTAACTCTAGCTAAATCTATGAATTTATAAGATAAATTCAAATATAGTTAAAAATATTGTTAACTATTTATTTTTGTTTTCTTATTTTTCATCTTACCTTTACTAAAAACATTAGAAATGACTTTCTTATTCACTTAACAGTCTTTTACAGACAAAATAATAAAAAATTATTTCATAATTAACCATCACTTATTAATAAAAAACAACTTTTTTTCAACAAGATCTCTCAAGGCAAATGTATATTATTAATGATTAACTAGTTAAATATTACAAAACTTACTTTTCAACTTCTTTTAAAGTATATTCAGTTAATGGATCAACATAACGAAAGGCAACATAGTGTTTATGTGGTGCAGTATTAGGAGATATTTTATCTAGTTTTTCACATAACAATTTTCCCTAGATAATTTTTATAAAATATAATTAAATATCTGAATTTAACTTGACTGCAAACATAAATGCTTGATTACTTGAATATTAGTCCATTTCAAAATTGGTGAACCACCCCCTATCTCAGCATATTTTTTTTGAACTTCAGAAGTACGTCTTTTTGCTATGTAAGGACCAAGAATGCTAAAAATTTACATGAATGATATATTTTTAAGTATAATTAAAAAGAAATATTGTTACTTTTGAAAGGGTAATTGCATCATATCTCGATCAGTCATTATTCTATGTAAGTAGTCATGAACTTGATTAACATGTTGTGGTCCACCCATATTTAACATTATGACAGCTGTTTTGACCTGAGAAGATGATCTACGGTTAGAAAGTTCTGAAATACAAAAAATTTAAGTACCTATAGTTTTAACTCTCTAAATTAAATCTACACACCAACTTGAGGAACCTTGTGCAACAATTTTATTGATTTAAACATATTGTTATTATAGTAACACTTAACTTAAAATAATTAAGAGCAAAATTTAAGTAAAATAAATTATTTGTAATAACTTCAGTGCATGAATACGAAATGTTCGTAGATTATATAGTTTATTATTGAACAGTGAGACGAAATTAATTAACTATTTTATAACTTAAGAGATAAACTTTTGTTTTTAGAAAACAACACAGACATTATGGCTTATTTTCGATTACTCATACTATTCAAATACTTTCTAATTATTCAAACACATTTACTTTTTATCTTGAAAACTAATGAGAATTGATTATTAACAGTTTTATTATCATCACAAAACTATATGAGCATTTTCGTAAATTTGTGTTATCACTTTTACAACCAGTGCTGCCAAATGGTTCGATATTGGTGGAAGAATACGATTATTACTAACAATTAAATTACTATCTGATCCGCATCAGATTTATCATAAGCGTAGAATAATTCAAATAATTTAAATTAAAATATTATTTTTTTTACTAAAATGGATTTAATTTTGCATTATTTTAAAAAAACATGGTATTTATAGATTTGGAGAAAGCGTATGATAGAGTACTAAGAGAGGTTTTAAAGTGGTTATTAACAAGAAAAGGAGTCCCCAACAGGTATATTTATATAATAGAAGATATGTATGATGGCATTTGTACCAGGGAAAAAAGTATGGTCGGAGTCACCAATGTTTTTAAAGTACGTATAGGAGAGCACCAAGGTTCTGCATTAAGCCCTTATTTATTTTTAAATCACTACAAAAATTTAAGGAGTGGTACCATGTTGCTTGTTGTTCACTGACAATATAGTATAAATAGAAAAAAATTATTCAAAGGCTTGAGATATGGAGATCAGCTCTTGAAGGAAAAAGATTAAGAATAAGAAGGAGTAAGACAGAGTATGTGAGTACGAGTTTGACAATGGTGAAAATGAAGTAGGTGAAATGAGTGAAGTGACAACAAGCAATGAGGATGTTATAGGAAAGATGAAAAGTTTTAATTATTTAGGATCAATTGTGCAAAAGAGCAATGGTATTGACTAGGATGTAAGACACAGGGTTAAGTGCGGATGGTTGAAGTAAAGGAAGTGTCTGGTGTGTAATGCGATAAAAAAATTCCAATAAGGCTGAAAGGTAAGTTCTATAAGACTATAATGAGACCAGCTATGATGTATGCTTCAGAGTGTTGCGCGGTTGACAAGAAAGTAGAGCAGAGAATAAGTGTAGCAGAGATGAAAATGCTTAGATAGATGAGTGGAATGACTAAAGAAAATAAGATGAATAATAAACATATAAGAGGGAATATAGGTATAGCGTCAAAAATGGGTAAGATGAGAGAAAATAAATTTAGATTGTTTAGTCATGTTATGAAGAGAGAGAAATCAGAAACTGTAAGAAAATTTTTGGAAATGAATATTAAACTAAACATTCATTATGAAATATCTCCATATTTTAGTATAGTACTTGTTGATTTTATTAAATTATATACAATCATTAATATTAATAATTAAACTCTAAAATTACAAACTATTAGGTACATTAAAACCAAAATTTAATGTTCATCAGATAATTATTACATAAAATTTCATAGAAAAACTCTTGAACACATTTAAAAAATTATATTAATAAAATGTTTTTGATTATCTGTAACAAGTCAAACAAATTTTATTCACCTCATCACTGCATCTATAAAATGAAAATAAGGCTTGTATTTAATTAATAAATTATAACAATTTTTGTTTATATTCATAAATATTATCTAAGTAAATAAATGTATTAAATATCTTTACTGCTTCTCTTTATAATAAATAAATAGTATTCAAAGTTTATGAAATAAGTAAGAATACTTACAATGAAAATGTACACATATTACAATAAACATCATAACATTTTCCACATGTATCTAAGCTGTTTGTCTTTGAACAAAATGAACACTTTTGCTGATTTTCATTTTCATTTATTGAATCCTTAAAATATAGTAAAATTGACCATAGAAACAACAACTGAATAGAAAAATTTTACCTTAATTAAAATTTCAGATTTAATAAGCTTGCCATCAAAAGTTAATTGAAGTTGCTTGGAAGGCTTTAAATCACAAGGCAATTTGTTGTGATTTATAGTATCCTGATTTGTAACATATATAGTTTTTGCATTACTGTATAAAATTTGTTTAGTTTTTTCTGAAATATTATACATAACAGATTAAATATACTTTATTTGAAATAAAATAGTAGTATTTTAGACAAATATTATCTAAACTTACCATAAATTACAGACATTTTTTCTGATCCCATTACACCATTAGCAATTTGTTTATCACCAACATGAATTTTTAATTGTGGACACATATGAACATCATAAGGGTATTTTCTTTTATTCATGCTTTTTAAAATGAGTTTAAAAAATTATTATTTAGTAACCACTAACCAAAAATTATTTGAAATCTCGAGAATCAATCAATAATCCTATACTTTAATAGCTAGAGATATAATGTATTTATATCTACAAAACCTAAAAAAAAATTATTAATAATGATAAGCTTACATTAACATATATATCAATGATAATTTAACTAAAACAAAGATACTCTATATATATATATGTTTATAAGACGTCTTTGAGATAATATCATGACTTGTGTTTTTTATTATAATAAGAGTAGCATGTCATTCTTACATTTCATATTATATTAAACATTTTATTAAAGTAATCTATTGAAGCTGTTCTTGTGATGGTATTTGTACTGTATTAATTTTAACAAGTAAATTAAATAATTTTTTGTGATTTAATAGTGTTGTTATATAAACTAAGAAAATGAATATTACGTCTGCAGCAGGCGTGATATCGTTATTAGATGAACCAGCATCTGAATTAAAAATATTTGCGCTTCGTAAGTTAGATTCTATTGTAGATGAATATTGGCCCGAAATATCAGAGGCCATTCAAAAAATCGAATATCTTCATGAAGATAAAACTTTTTCTCAGCAAAGTTTAGCTGCCCTTGTTGCTAGCAAAGTATATTATCATCTGGGTTCATTTGCTGATTCACTTCAGTATGCTCTCGGTGCTTGTGAATTATTTGATGTAAATGCCCGGAATGAATATGTTGAAACAATTATTGCTAAATGTATTGATCATTATACTAAATTACGTGTTGAAGCATCGGAAAACTCAACTTCACTATTAACAATGGATACCCGTTTAGAAGCTATTGTCAATCGTATGTTTCAAAGATGTTTAGATGATAAACAGTACAAACAAGCTTTAGGTTTAGCTTTAGAAACTAGACGTATGGATATATTTGCCAAATCTATTGAATCATCTGATAATATTAATGAAATGCTTTCATATGCTTTTCAAGTAGCTATGAGTACTATTGAAAACCGTAGTTTTCGCTGTACTGTCTTACGAAGTCTTATAACTTTATATCGAAATTTAGAAGTACCAGATTATGTTAATATGAGTCAATGTTTTATATTTTTGGATGATCCTGAATCTGTAGCTCAACTTCTTGAAGGTCTCATTCAAAACAATGAAAAAAATAACTGCCTAATGGCATATCAAATAGCATTTGATTTGTATGAATCGGCTACCCAACAATTTTTATCTAGTGTTTTGGAATCATTACGACAAACAGCACCTATACCTTCTGCTACCCACGTTATTAAACCTATTCCTGCAGCACAAAGTGAAACAAGCAAGGAAAATATAACACCTCCTGTTGCTGTTGCATCAACTGATGTTAGCACATCTCAACCTATTGTTGAAGAACGTTCTTATGAATCTTTAGGCCCAGATGATAAATATAGACAAGAAGTTATCCAAAAGCTGACCAAAGTTTTAAGTGGTGAAGTTAGCATTGAACTTCATCTACAATTTTTGATAAGAAGCAATCATACAGATATGCTTGTATTGAAAAATACTAAAGAAGCTATACGAGCTAGTGTTTGTCATACTGCAACTGTCATTGCTAATGGGTTTATGCACAGTGGTACTACAAGTGATCAATTTTTGAGGTAGTTTGATTATTTTATTTTATATTTTTTTCATTTTTAATGACCTTTTTTTTTAGAGATAATTTAGAATGGTTAGCAAGAGCTACCAACTGGGCTAAACTATCTGCTACAGCTTCTCTTGGTGTTATTCACCGAGGTCATGAAACTGATGCTTTAGAACTTATGCGAAGTTATTTACCACCAAGAGAAAATAATTCTTCTGGAAGTTCTGGTTATAGTGAAGGAGGAGGATTATATGCTTTGGGACTAATTCATGCTAATCATGGTGCTGCAATAAATGATTATCTTCTTGGCCAACTTAAAGATGCTCATAATGAAGTGAGTTAACATATTTTAATTTTTCAAAACAGAATTTTTGATAAGGTTTAATAAATTTTCTGTTTTTTATTGATTATTAAAATATTTTCAAAAGAGTATGTTTGTATTAAGAGAAAGTTTACTCTATAGTACTATAAAGTATTCATTATATTACATACATTGAAATTAGGGCTAAACTAATATGCAATTTGATATTATATAGCAGTTGATTTATCAGTATTATATCAAAATAAAATTTATCTGTATTGAGTTTTTTTTAATCCTATATATATTAAAAAAAATTATACTATAATCCAATAATCAAGGCGGATTTATTATCAACCTATTAATTAAAACCTATTAAAAGTATTATCACAGATTCCCTTTTTACAAATATTTTTAAATAGTGTGATACTAGTATACACTGATAACCTCTATTCCAACTGTTATTAGTGTTAATAATCAATACTCTTTTGTATTTACTGTTTTTAACATCTTTGAATTTTATCAACAATAAGAGAACAATTTTTAAGTTTTATATTAATAATTAAATATTTTGTGATTTATGTAATAGTTATTACATTGATAATACTCTGTCATCATAATCCCACTTCATGTATTTACATGTTTCCAAATTTTCTATTAATTAATACATTTTTTAATACTTATGAATATAATCTTATATTTCTAAAATAATTTGTGTGAAACATTGAAGTATTTTTTTAATTTTATGGTAATATTCAATTATTTTTAATAGTTTTTTTTTTTTTTTTTTACTATAATTAATTAAATAGTTGAAAAAAATCATAATTATACAAATATTCAAATTGTAGCTAAAGTATTTATAATAGACAAAAATAATATATATATAATAAATATAATAGATACATTTAGAGTCGGTATCAAAAACAATAAAAAAATTCACAAATATTCCATGATCAAAATTGTGATGAGCTGTATTATTGGATAATTTAAATTTAATTTAAATGTTTTAATTAATATTGTTATCATATAAGTTTAATTTTTAGATTGTAAAACATGGAGGATGCCTAGGAATTGGTTTATCAGCTATGGGAACTAGTCGTGAAGATATATATGAACAACTTAAGTTTAATATGTATCAAGATGATGCTGTAACTGGTGAAGCTGCTGGATTAGCTATGGGATTAGTTATGTTAGGATCAAAAAATGGTGAAGCTCTACAAGATATGGTAGCTTATGCTCAAGTTACCCAACATGAAAAGATTTTACGTGGTTTAGCTGTGGGAATTTCTTTTGTAATGTATGGAAGGTTAGAAGAAGCTGATCCCTTGATAACTTCTTTATTGCAAGATAAAGATCCAATACTTCGCCGTTCTGCTATGTACACCATATCAATGGCATACTGTGGAACTGGAAGCAATGCAGCTATAAGAAAATTACTTCATGTTGCTGTGTCAGATGTTAATGATGACGTACGTCGTGCTGCAGTTACTGGACTAGGATTTTTACTATTTAGAACACCAGAACAATGTCCTCAAGTTGTTAGTTTACTTGCTGAAAGTTATAATCCTCATGTCAGATATGGTGCAGCTATGGCTCTTGGTATAGCTTGTGCTGGAACTGGTCTAAAAGAAGCTATCAATCTTTTAGAACCAATGACTAATGATCCAGTAAATTATGTTCGTCAAGGTGCGTTAATTGCTTCTGCAATGATATTGATTCAACAAACAGAAAGTATTTGTCCCAAAGTTAAAGATTTTCGTACTTTATATGCTAAAGTTATTACAGATAAACATGAAGATGTTATGGCCAAATTTGGTGCAATTTTAGCACAAGGCATTATTGATGGTGGAGGTCGTAATGTTTCAATATCATTAGAGTCACGAACTGGTCATACTAACATGTTGGCTGTTGTAGGTCTTCTATTATTTACCCAATATTGGTATTGGTTCCCATTAGCTCATTGTTTAGCTTTAGCATTTACACCTACTTGTATTATTGCATTAAATGCACAGTTAAAAATGCCACTTCTAGAAATTAAAAGTAATGCAAAACCATCACTGTTTGCATACCCTGCACCAATGGAAGAAAAGAAACGTGAAGAAAGAGAAAAAGTAACAACAGCTGTATTAAGTATTGCAGCACGCGCTAAACGACGTGAAGGTACCAATACAAAGATTATCGAACCTTCAACTAGTGAAAAGATGGAAGTGGATGAAAAAGAGTCTTCAAGTAAAAAGAAAGAAGAACAAAAGCCAGAACCTAATTTCGAAATGCTTAATAATCCAGCAAGAGTTATGAAACAACAACTAAAACATCTACAACTAACAGAAAATGCTCCTTATATACCCTTAAAAGATATATCTATTGGAGGTATTATTATGACTCGTTTCACAAAGAGTGGAGAAGATGAACAGCTAGTGGAACCTGTTGCAGCATTTGGACCTAAACCAGAGGATGATAAAGAACCCGAAGCGCCTGAGCCTTTTGAATATAATGATGATTAAATATTTATGAATACAAGTTTAGAACTATTAGTACTGTATCCTAAGATATATCATCTTTCTTTAGACATTTATTTTAATAATAATTAAAATTAATTTATAATAATTTGTCTAAGTAAGCTCTTGATGTAATTATAATAAACATTTTTACGTAATATATTATATAATTATTAATTAAAAAGTTTACAATTTATTTTGCAACTTCAATTTGTATTTACTTAGAAAAAGTATCAAATACCTTAATTTTATTTTGACTAAAATACTATAAGATGCTCTCAAACAATCTTGAAGTATTTTCAGGCCAGTTTAAATATTCAAATGTCTATAACTTGTTAAATAAACTATCAAATAAAAAAAAAATGCTTTTTTATAACTCCAATAAAAGTGAAATACTATAGCCATTTTCCAAACTAGATATCAATTGTAACAATTTTTCAGGAGAGCAAAAATAATTACAAACACTTTAATATTGGTAAAATAAACATTTTTTACTGGATGGATTTTATTACTTGATACTACTACTAATAATGACGTATCAAATCAAACCATAAAATGAAAATTGAAAGAATAGACTACTATCGTTTATACACTGTTTGAATAATACATTGTCAAGAATAGTGTCTTATTCAAACATTTCAATATTTTTGAAGTGCAAAATATAAACTTCGATAAAATTTATCATTAATTTTGGCACATAACAAAAAACTTAATTTTACAAACAAATTATGAAACATCTCGAAAACCTATATTTATTGGCTAAAAGATTACAACTCAAAGAATTACATTTTAGATTCTAAAAATAGAATTCTCATTTTTTAATTCTTAACTTAGTTAACTTACTAGTCACTTAGACAAATTATAATTCCCATTTGAGCGTTTTTATCGGTTTTGATGCAGTATAATCACTTATTCTGGTCGATCTTCACGCAGTGCTTGGCTCTGTCACATAATTTAAAGTATCTATACCGTTCTCCAGTGATGGTTTCATTCGGTTTCAATAGTTCATAATAAATAACACCGACCTGGTCAGTACCGAATACACAGTATAACCTTCGAAGCTATTATATTCAACGCAACGGATTTAGCATGTTAAAATTTTTACTGTTCATATAAAATGGTAATTTTTTTTTTTTAATGAGTTATAAATTCCGTCTATCTACCATAAAAACTACAAAAAGATCTAATTTTAGGTCCGATGAGAAGTTTAGGAGGTATTATACTAATATTATTTTACTATGTGTTTTATTTATTTTTTTTGTCTGTCACCACTTTTTCTCTGATCTAACTGGGCCGATTTTTTTCAACTATGCGTCAAAAGATCACAAATCGTATCTAGTCAAAGACATTACCCTCAAAAATTGAAAAAAATTCCCTCGTTCCCCGTAAATGGGGAAAACCTCCAAAAAAATTACAAATTTAAAAATCGTTAATTTTCGAAATTTTTTCAATTTTTTTTACTTAAAACTACCATAACTTTTTCAAAAATCTACAAATCAGTATAAATTTTTTTTTAATAGATGCATAATGTTCTTACCTATCATTTGGTATATTTTTATATCTGACCCTTTATATGCCCACAGGGGGGGATATAAAATGACAACTTTTTCACAAAAAATTTACTTTTCAACTTAACTTTTGAAAGTGTTCCGGAAGTCTGACAATTTTAAATATATCTTAAATTAAAGCTAATGTAATGTACTTTATTATGCAAAAAAAAAATTTCGGACTTTATTTTGTCTTCACGGTGAAAATGGCTACCAAATGCTATTATTGTGTGAAAATTCTCGATTTTATTTTTAAAATTTTTAACTTTATAATGCTATAACTTATTGAAAAGTGTATGGATCAACATAATTTTTTTATGAGAAATAATATTTTTTAATAATCCCTTTTTCATTCGACATACTTTATCTTAATCAGGATATTAATAAGGAAATAGCAGATCATTTAGCTTTTGGAATAATCCACCAATTTTTTAAAATTAAACACTATCTAAAGATTTGCATTGAAGCGTTTTTTATGATAGTGATTTTAATCACTGTCAGATATCATTATACTTGATCCAACTATGCTACGTCACCACTATGCCACGACCCCCCTGGGCTGTTTTTTTTTTATAGATATCTCGATTTCATTAAGTTTATGTATTTTAAAAATATCATAAGTCAAGTTTTAAAAATATTTCGAAAATTCTACGTAATTTAAACTTATCTTAAACTAAGGATAATGTTACACATTAAAACTTATTCCGACGACATGTTTTCTATGTGTAAACAACCCCGATATTCAACAAAAAATATTTTTTTGAGTTCTTTTAACATCGCCTAGTAGACATTTATACGTAGTTTAAACATACATAAAGTTCAATATTATCATCATTTTTATTGTACCTAGTAATTTCTGACGACTCATCATAAATCATTTATCTATACCAATAGGTAAATTTTTAAAAATTAAATTTTCATATTAAGAATACTCTAAAAAAAATAAAAACTATGTTGTTAAGTTAAAAACTTTAAATAGTATTAATCAACTAATAATATGAAAATGGTTTTCTATGTTCTTGCACAGTCATTATATACTTATGAAATTTGTGTTGGAGGAGGGCACTTATGAAAATTTTTGAGATTACTTAAAACTACAATAAGTTCTTTACTTAAAATGGCTTTTAAAAAACCTTTATACTCAAATACAGACATTTTATACATACATATGGTACATTTAACTTAAAAAAATTTCATGCTAAAGAAATTTTAAACAATTTTTATTTTATAAATCCTGAAAACATTCCTTTCAGCCACAAATAACACCCATAAACACATAAATAACCCACATAAAATTAAAAAATATAACACTGAATTTGGTAAAAAAGACCATATTAGTTTAGATGTAAGATTTTGTAGGTCTTATTAAAATTTTCCAAAAATGTAATCGGACTCAAATAAATTATAATCATTTATTATTTATATTAAGTACTGTGTTATTATAATTTTGTAGTTAATATACATATATTTTTTTTTATAAACTTCCACTATAATAATAAAATAATTATTAAATTTTAATAATCATCTCAAAATTGATGATAGGCATATAGCTTCTTTTTTTTATAAAATGCACGATTAGTAAATAGATTAAATGATTAGTATATAGATATTATAATACCATTCAGTTCATAAATTTCTTAGAAACTATTACATTATTTATCCAAAGCACATAATTGTGATATTGCTGTTGTGATAATGGCTTTTTAAGACTAATATATCCATAGTGATCATTTATATTATTTCAAATTAATAAAAACAATTTATATTATTCCAGTACAATACTAAATACTCTATTAATAACAATTACTGAACACTAACTTAACTTATTAAAAAAATCAAAGTTAATTATTAAGTTAAAATGACTTGATTAAGTTACCAATTAAGTTAATGTAAAAATAAAAAATTAGTTAAGTTAAAAAGTTAAACTTGTAACTTTTTAACACTTTAATGTCCAGCCTTGCTTGTTGTAATGGTGATAACACATAGCTTTCTTTTATAAAGTATTTTATTCCAAAAATTACAGAACAAAATTATAAAAAAAAACAATAATTTAAACATTTAACATTAAAATTTTTATACATTATTTTTAATAAAGATTGAAACATTATGAAGTGCAATACTTTAAAAAATAGGTATTATTTAAAAAAAGAAAACATTGATTTACTTAAGTGAAATATATGTAATTAATATTTACTTTTAATGTAGTACATATTTCAACATTATACAATAAAATAGGTGATAAAAATGACATTTCTTTGTCAGTAGTAAGTTATGTTTGTGTGTCTTTTTTAACAAGCATAAATAACTGTACAGGAAATTTCATCATACAAATTTCCCCTAGAAAATTTTACATCAAGGATAAAAATTAAGAATATGATATCTAACAAAAAGGAAATCAAGTTAAGCACCAAACTAGCAGCATTGAAGTTCATCATTTTTTCATTAATTTAGCTAACTCAATTCCCATAGCAGCTGGACTTCTAGTAACAACAACACCAGCCTAAATAACAAATAATTAAAATACAATACAACATTTATACACTTTAGTTAGCATATATGTTTTTAACAACCTTCTCTAATGCATCAATTTTATCTTGTGCTCCACCTTTGCCTCCTGATATTATGGCTCCAGCATGGCCCATACGGCGACCCGGAGGAGCAGTTAAACCCGCAATAAATGAAACAACTGGTTTGGCATTAGGACCCTTAATATAAAAGTATAAAGTATAATAAGTTTGTAACTTGAAAGTAAAACTAAAAAATTGAATGAACTCACAGAATTATGTTTACTTAAGTAGTCAGCTGCCATTTCTTCTTGTTGGCCACCAATTTCTCCAATAAGTATAATACCTTCTGTTTTTGGATCATGAAGAAAAACTTCCAAACAATCTATGAAATCAGTCCCATTAAAAGGATCACCACCAATACCAACACATAATGTTTGTCCAAGACCAACTTGAGATGTTTGATGAACTGCTTCATAGGTTAGTGTACCTGAACGAGATACTACACCAACACATCCTTTCATATGAATATGTCCAGGCATAATACCAATTTTACACTAAATATAAAAAAATTATTTTATTTTAACTATTTTTACATTATTCATATTCAAATAAATACTTGTTCTGGTGCAATAATTCCAGGACAATTTGGACCAAGTAATCTAGATTTATTTTGTCTGATTAATTTATGCTTAACCCGCACCATATCTTGTTGAGGGATACCTTCCGTAATACAAACAATTAATGGAATTTCAGCATCAATGGATTCTAAAATTGCTTTGGCAGCACCCGGAGGTGGAACATAAATAACTGTAGCATCAGCCCCCGTTCCATTGCGAGCCTACAATAATTATTTATCTAATAGAAGATATCACATTCTTGTAGTAGATCAATTAATTTAATTTAAAAAACATACTTCTTTTACTGAATCAAAAATTGGAAGACCCAAATGTGTTTTTCCTCCTTTACCAGGTGAAACACCACCAACCATTTGAGTACCATACTCTAAAGCTTGTGTTGTATGAAATGTACCTTGTTTACCAGTCATACCTTGGCAAATAACTTTGGTATTTTTATTTAACTGTAAATTTTTTCTAGTTTCTGCATAGATTCTCGGATCAACAGAGTTGGACGATGATCTCACTCCCAATAAATTACAAACTAAAAATATTTGATATCAAAAATTGTAAACAATATGTAACCACATTATGTTGTTTAAAAATTAACAATAAATCAATATCTCGATTAATGATTATTATCACACCATCATAATTATTTTATATTTTATTAATCCTAATATTTTAAATTATATTATTTAAAAGTTATATTGAAACGTAATATATTTCAATATTTGTTTTAAATTTTATTTTAATTGGTAATAAAAAATAAGAGAATATATAAATCAATGAACTCACTTGCAATACGTGAAAAAATTCTAGCTGAATTTGCCATTTCAAAAAAAATAATTTATTAACTACAATTTATATAAAAATTACTTCTTGTAACTCTTATTTCGGCGTTTCCGTGTTGTACGAAAATAAGATAGAAAAATTTGGAATTCGAGTGATAAGAATTATAAAAATGGCTCGTTTAAGCTTCAAATTCCACCATAGAAATAAAATTAATCACTCTTATCTTGGTTTTCCTATACAACATATGATTTTACAGTGTTCTCATTTTTGTACATCAGCTGTTCTTATTTAAAATTTAAGATGAACCTATTATACTGCACTCGAGTGCAAGAGAAGCTGTATCTCGTCAAAAGTCGTTATGAGGTAAACAACTTTATTAAAGTTTCGACCTTCCATAAGAGTTACATTGTGGGCAAATTTCAAGTTAAATTCAAAGTTAAGTTATAAGTTAAGTCAAGTTATATTAAGTTCAAATCAAATTTTACATAAATTGATTGCATATTTAGATATAAATTAATAAACTACAATTAATTATATTAATATGTCAAATATCACGAATTTTGATATATAGCTCTCTTACACATAGTGAAATATATTTATCCGTAAAAACATACTTTTTTAAAATCAAATTATCGACTTTATCTATGTAGGTCATAATTTTAAAATCCTTTAAACTATTAAATTAATTAGTAATATATTTCAACAATAATTATTTTGGTTAAATTAAGATAAATATTGATAAAATATCATTTAAAAATTTTTTGTAATATAAATTACTATTATTTTTTACATTTGATTTTACAAACGCTGGCGTAAAAATGAAACAAAGAAATCCGAGAATTGAAAAGAGTTTCAAAGGAAAACTGAGTTCCCATATTTTCCTTTAATTTACGCTCGGACAAAAAGCCAGGAAGCTTTCCATTACACGTTTTAATAATTTTGATTATAATCTACTCANTGTAAATGTCTCTTTAAGTATAGTTAAAAAGCCAGGAAGCTTTCCATTACACGTTTTAATAATTTTGATTATAATCTACTCAATTACTTTTAAAATAAATACAATATTTAAAAAAACCAGCCCAGGGGGGTCGCGGCATAGTGGTGACGTAGCATAGTTGGATCAAGTATAATGATATCTGACAGTGATTAAAATCACTATCATAAAAAACGCTTCAATGCAAATCTTTAGATAGTGTTTAATTTTAAAAAATTGGTGGATTATTCCAAAAGCTAAATGATCTGCTATTTCCTTATAAATATCCTGATTAAGATAAAGTATGTCGAATGAAAAAGGGATTATTAAAAAATATTATTTCTCATAAAAAAATTATGTTGATCCATACACTTTTCAATAAGTTATAGCATTATAAAGTTAAAAATTTTAAAAATAAAATCGAGAATTTTCACACAATAATAGCATTTGGTAGCCATTTTCACCGTGAAGACAAAATAAAGTCCGAAATTTTTTTTTTGCATAATAAAGTACATTACATTAGCTTTAATTTAAGATATATTTAAAATTGTCAGACTTCCGGAACACTTTCAAAAGTTAAGTTGAAAAGTAAATTTTTTGTGAAAAAGTTGTCATTTTATATCCCCCCCTGTGGGCATATAAAGGGTCAGATATAAAAATATACCAAATGATAGGTAAGAACATTATGCATCTATTAAAAAAAAATTTATACTGATTTGTAGATTTTTGAAAAAGTTATGGTAGTTTTAAGTAAAAAAAATTGAAAAAATTTCGAAAATTAACGATTTTTAAATTTGTAATTTTTTTGGAGGTTTTCCCCATTTACGGGGAACGAGGGAATTTTTTTCAATTTTTGAGGGTAATGTCTTTGACTAGATACGATTTGTGATCTTTTGACGCATAGTTGAAAAAAATCGGCCCAGTTAGATCAGAGAAAAAGTGGTGACAGACAAAAAAAATAAATAAAACACATAGTAAAATAATATTAGTATAATACCTCCTAAACTTCTCATCGGACCTAAAATTAGATCTTTTTGTAGTTTTTATGGTAGATAGACGGAATTTATAACTCATTAAAAAAAAAAAATTACCATTTTATATGAACAGTAAAAATTTTAACATGCTAAATCGGTTGCGTTTTGAGGGTAATGTCTTCGACTAGATACGATTTGTGATCTTTTGACGCATAGTTGAAAAAATCGGTTCGATGAGAGCTGAGAAAGAGTGGTAACAGACACAAAAAAAATGTACCTTAAACTATTTATACAAGTCATTCTAGCTTGACTGCCTAATACTATTATAATGTATAACTGTTTTGTATTGTACATTGTACTATGACACTTTTTATATAATTAATAAAGAATCACAGATAGTGTCCTTTGATAATCGAGATCTCCTATAAAATTAATCTAATTAAAATATTTTTACAAACAATATCACAAAAATCATATCTAGTACTCTGTCCGCGTCTAAATCGATCAAGCATCCTCTTCCTTGTTCACCTTGATTATCAACACCTGGAAGTGAAGACTAGAATTTATTCGAAGTTCAAATTTATTCAACTTCAATTACCTTCACACTATAAAATCTTGAATCACACACGAAGCCTTAGGTGAATTATTTAAAGGTCCATAAAATAATTATTTCTTAGCTTGCTTCAACTATTATACGCTAAGAAATGTACAGTTTGTAGTATTTTTGTAATAAATATAAACACCAGAGTGCTGCGATTTGGTGTTCCAATTTTCTTATTGTCGTTGCATCGTCAGCTTGTTCATGTGACTGACGGTTTTTGACCTTGTCACTAACGCTGGAAATGGAAAAACCATCATTTCGGCTGTCCGATACTTCGATAATTTTATCTGCCATCGAAGCTAAGTTATCCAACTTGTCGTTGCTAGCTGAAATGATAGTTTTTACCTGATGTGGTAACCTTTGTATCCATAGTGTTTTGAGTATTTCATCAGTTACTTTTCCATTAGCTAGTTGACGCATTTCTGAAAGAAAGTGGGATGGTTTCCGATCACAGAGTTCGACTTCGGTCAGTAATTTTTTAAGCCGACATTGTTCAGATTCGGAAAATCTTTCGATGAGCCGAGTTTTTAATGCTTCGTACATTTTCGTTTCTGGTGGATTGAGTATTATGTCACTAACTTGAGCAAGAATTTCACTTTCCATAGAGGAAACAACATGATGAAATTTACTTGCGTCAGCTGTAATTCTGGTTGTATAAAAAACGGATTCAATTTGTTTGAATCAAAGTTCTGGGTTGGTGCGCCAGAAAGTTGGGATTTTAAACGCTCGCGTTGAATTCATATTGGGCTCGCCGTATTCGATATGGTCTCGGCCATCATTACNTCGCGTTGAATTCATATTGGGATCGCCGTATTCGATATGGTCTCGGCCATCATTACCGATCGCGTCGTCACGCACACTTACTATCGCACTATCGGATTTATTGTTCATTTTAGAGGTCACCAATTTGTAGTGTTTTGGTGTTTATATTTATTACAGAAATACTACAATTAAAATTTATAATAATTAATAATTTTTAATAATGAAATATGATGTATACATACATAAAAAAAAAAAAAGAGTACAAATAAAAAGTGTCACTGGATTGACGAACAGCGCGATACTAAAAATAATACACGGAGTGTTATCGTACTGCAGTACATCTAAGATAAAACATATAAACATATATAAAAGCATTCATTGTGACATGTTATTTAACATCTTTGTTAATCCCTACAAGTCTATATCTTTATTGCATTCACTTACACAAGTATTCTAACAGATCCTGACTATTTGTAAGTTTAGTTCAAGTCTGTTCTTGACGAACGCACTTATCCACACCCCGTCAGAGGTAATTTACTTTCTTTAGCAGTAACTCAATCACAAAGAGTCTCGTATATTATATTGGATAATACTAGTTGACGAAACAATGGCGACTACACACCTGCACCTATTCATTAACTACTACCCATCTCTAAAATAACTCTATTTTCCTTTTTGAGTTACTACATTACATTACATCCCTTATGATTTATAACTATTTTAAAACGTGTATTGGTAGAGGCGGCGTGTATAACTATTTCTATTTTTAGAAAATTTTCGGCCGCAATCCTCCTTCAATTAGGCATAAAATTTTTTATAAATATCTAAAGTATTTGTTTAAAGTGCTTATCGACACGCCATTGTCTTATCTAAGGATTTCCTATTTAATAAATAAGTTAAATATGTGTTACTATTTAAAAAAATTAAGTTGACCCTAGGTATACAGTGGGTGGCTAAGCCCTTCAGAAATTAACAAAATTATACCCTTTGTTATACAAAAATATTTTTTTGAAGAGGAAATTAAATTTAGCCCCCCAAAAATGTAACCAATCTACGCCTGTAAGTCTTATAAATAATCCTAAAAAGTAATAAATGAATGATCATATAACAAATACATGTAACTAAAAAAGAATAAGGATAAAAGTTTCAATATGTATTTATTTTGTGAGTGATTAAGTGAGTACCCACTTAATTAGCCTCTATAAGTCGATAATCATGTAACTTTTGACATTTTTTAGTGATAATATATATATTACCACTGTAATTTTATTTTAATCCATGCACTATTCAAATAGAGCAATTAACAAAAAAACTTTGTTCACCAAAATTGTATGATTGTACTATTTATATTAACTTCCTAACTTTCAACATACTTTTTTTAAAATCCTATCATAAACCAAAATATTGCAAGTGGGCAAAATTATCATTTCAAAATGTTGATAATATTCCAAAAAAATTGCTTCCTACGTTATAAAAGAAGAATTTTTTCAATGGAAATTAAAAGTTTAACCCCTATATTGTTGAAATATAATAAAAATAAATCCTACAAAGTTTATAATATATAATAAAAATTAATCACTTGTGGCTAATTAATTAAATTAAATTAAAACTATATTAAAAGTATTATTAATATAAAAACTAAAAAATATTAAACTCAAAAGCCACAAAAAAATTACTGAAAAGTCGAGGGTATTTTGGAAACAATGTTACCATTATCAACGCTAAACAGATACTAACACCCCGACTAAAAAAAACTCCCTCATAAACCCCTAATGACTTTATCACCTAGTAACGTCATCACTAAGTAATATTATCACATTTTGCCAGTTTACACGAGTTTAATAATGAATTTTTCAGTGACCCAAGATCCTAATTAATTAAATTGTTTTTATTTTTAAACATTTCTATTCTCTCCCTAATATTAAGTTCTTTGTAATTATTTACGTTTTTAATTAGTTTTATGGTTTTAATGGAGTGATTATGTATCAATAAATGTTCAGCCACTGGAGATTTCTCAACTTCTTGATTTTTAATGTTTCTTGAGTGCTCTTTAAATTTGACCCCTATATTTGTTTTTGTTTGTCCAACGTAACATTTATTACAATTTTCACATTGTATTTTATAAATGCCTGATTTCCCCCCTTCTTCTACCTTATTTTTAAGGTTACTTAATAAATCTCTTAAATTATTACTCTTAGATGTTACTAAAGTAATAGCAAAATTCTTAAATATTCTAGCTAGTTCATTTGAAATGTCCGGATAATATAAAATGAGTGATCTAATTACTTTTTGTTCCCCACGCTAGTCAGTGTATTAGCTACCTTCCTGTCTTAATTCCACTTTGGTGTTCGGACTAATTATGAAATTATGTTTTCGTTATATCCATTAAATCTAATTATTTCTTTTATAATCACCAGTTCTTCATCAAAGTCTATTTTATTCATCAGAATATTAATTAATCTGTAAACCATACTATTAAAAGCGCCAATTTGTGTTGCCAGGTGTGGTTTGATTTGTTTGGAATGTACCTGAACGTGTGAGTGTTTTCCGATAAATTTTGAAATTTAGTTCTACTCTGTTCTTTTAACTAATAAATCCAAAAAAGGCAATTTTCTCTCTACTTTTTGTTCTACTTTTTTATATGTGAATTTAATCGATCGGTAAAAAGAATTTAAATGTTGTATGAAAACCTCCATATTAAAATCTTTATTTTATTTATAACTGCAAAAATAACATTTTTGAATGAAGTTTTGAAAATTGGATTAAAGGGATTGTTTTTTAATTTTTCATTTACTTATAAAATATCACTTGTGTAGCACTGTGTTGATCAATATAATCAAACTTTGAATGATTTTTTTTTTTTTCATATTCGAACAATGTAGTTATAGCTGCCCGTAACTTACAACTTTTACAAATTAATTTTTAAATACCACCTATTGTTATGTATTATACACACTTCAAAATTTAACAACTTAAAATCATCCATTTTTATCGAAAATTGTAAGATTTTTGTATTTAATGTGCCCAAAAACTCTTAGAAATTAAGATTTCAGGTAATATTTCTTTTTTTTATATAAAAGTACATTGGATTATTTTTTATTAGATATTAAATTAAGTATTATTTTTTGTTATAGTGTGGTATCATAAACCCGTGGCACTGCTCTTAAATATATAACTGGATAGAAGCAAAAACGTAGTCTATTGTTAATATGTCTATGAATTTTCTCATTGAAAAATTAAAGCGCTCAGAAGATAAGCTGATTTCCACTTTTATTTTTAAGTAAACACATTTTTAATAATTATAATAATAAAAATACCATGGTTGATTAAAAATGTGAATACTTTTGAATGAAAGTGATCTTAATAAAAGTGGTAATTGGCTAAATCGGTTTGGATTCTGAACACCTCAATTATTAATTAGCTAATTGCATAGAACATTTACTTTAAAATAATTATTTAGTAACTATTTACATTTTTTTGTGGTTCATAAATTTTACAATAGATGGTACTACTGTAACACAATAATACCCCGTTCTATTGTAGACCACTAAATATTACCCCCCGACACCAGTACTCATAATAAACTAATGTAGTTCGTTCATAAAAACACAATTTCTGATTGTTTTCCTACTTTTCTGTAACGACTATAGTAGATTTTACAAGTAGTGTTATATTTTCCCAAATATTTACAAAATAATTTATAATCTCTAATCAATGAAGATAACAGTTTTTAAGAACGTTAAAATATTTTTTTTTGCTTTAGCCATTTTTATTCTTTATCAAATTATTCTAACACTATAGGTTTTCATTATAAGACAAACACCAATGTGGATACTATATTTTTATAAAATCATAATTTCTAGATTACATTTAATCTAAAGTTGTATGGTACAAAATTTGTCTGCATGAACGTATGAATGTCATGAGAAAAAGAGTTTTGTTTATCTCATATATATTATTACTTAAAAAATAATAACATTGAAATGTGTATGCTTCATTTACTATATGTTATACACTTGTTATGCAACAATCAAATAATTTAAAATAATGATGTGCACTAAAAGGCAAGAAAATGAGGAACCTATAATTTGCACTTTACTTCAAGAAGATCCTCTTAGAGAACTGTTTGAAGCATGTAAATCAGGTGATCTCAATAAAGTCAGACGTCAAATTAATGCAGATACTGTAAATGCCAGAGATACTACAGGCAGAAAAAGTACACCTCTTCATTTTGCAGCAGGTATTAATGTACCTCTACAATTATTTTATTGGATAATCTATCAGATAACTTTAGTTTACCTATTTTTGACAATAATGTTGTTAGCTTGTTTTCTTTGATTTAAATAAAACTAGAAAAATTGGCTATTTAATTATGATCATATTTCAAAAAGACAGTTAGTTATTATATTGTTAGACTCTGAAAACAATTATATTCATTTTGCTTTAAAAACGATTATACCTACTTGTTGCATAAAGTCATTAAGTATTTTAATAAGCATATGAAATAATATATTTTTCATTATAATACTATTAAACCTCAAATTATATTAATAAGTTATTTAGGCATATTCAATCATATATATTATGCAACATCACAAATTCCATTTGTGTAGCAATGACCATTCATTTTTTATGCTGAGCAAATTAACTAATTATATCTCTTAAATACTAAATTTATTAAATTTGATATAAAAAAAATTGTTCACAGATAAGATAAATATCAATATTTTTCCCATAATACTTATAAAAAAAGCTTAGAATGTTTATAGATAATTATTATTAGAACTGCATTCGACTACTAGTAGTTAGTTTAATGCAGTTCCTATAGGCATAGAATTTTTGACATCACACATTTACTTTTAATTACTCATAAATCAACAATAAGAAGTCTAAAAAATATTTTATCATTAAAATTTTTTTTATTTTTACCAAACAAAAAAATAATGTATTTTTGAAAGGTAAGTCCTTCAAAAAAATTAAACATTTCATTTTTAAAATTTAATAAACATTTTTGCAATTCTTAATTACATTTATAAGACATAATTAAATAACTACAATAATTTTGTCATATGCAATCATAGTGAATTATTAAAATATTACGACTATTTTAATTATGTGCTAGTATATACTAACGAACCATTAGTATATGCTAATATATAAAACTACCACTACTATTAGCAAGATTCTCAAGTTTATGCATTTATAAATTTTGTTAAAGTAATTCTGATAACAATTATATCCAAATGAGAGTTTTTATAATTTGATTCAAAACTAAGATATATATATAACTTGTAATATATCAATCCTGAGGGTACAAAAGTTACCGCAGGGAAAGTATAAGCCCCTAAAAGCATAATTTTTGTATTCTTTTACATAGTTTTGTATTTTCTATTTACTGGAATTTCTTTAAGATGGGTTAATCAAAAATTATAATTATAATTATGAACTTATAATTTTTGACCATTAATAATGATAGTTTGATTTAATTAATTTCTTATACTGAATTATCCAATAACTATTGGAAGAAATATTAGTTTTTAGTTGTCAATGTTCATTAATTATATTCAAATTTGAGTCAACCCAAATTCAAATTCTGACTTAAATATTTATCTATTATCTATTTATCTTTAAGTTATCATTTTACCTTGTAAAATCATATCACAAAATTATATTCAAAAGTGAACTTTAGGTTTAAAAAGACGTTTTTATTAAGGGAGGTCCTTTAATAAATAAATAAAAATTAATAGAATACATTTTTTCAATAATATTTCAATCAATTATAATATTAAAGGTTTTGGCCGTCGTGACATTGTTGAGTTATTATTAGCTGCAGGAGCTTCAATACAAGCTCGTGATGATGGTGGACTTCATCCTTTACATAATGCTTGTTCGTTTGGCCATGCAGATGTAGTAGGTTTATTACTTGAAGCAGGAGCCGATCCTAATACTAGAGATAATTGGAATTATACTCCTCTTCATGAAGCCGCTATTAAAGGAAAAATTGAAATATGCATTGGTTTGTTACATATTGTTTACTTTAGTTTTATTTTCTAAACAAAATAGATCTTATTATTATTAATTAAAATTTAGCTCTATTGCAACATGGTGCTGATCCCACAATACGCAACTCAGATAATAAAACACCTGTAGAATTAGCTCAAGCTAATGGAGTACCTGGTATTAGTGATGTGTTAGGAGGAGAATGGCGTAAAGAAGAAGTAATTTTAAAAAGTTTCAAGCTCTTGTAATATTTAATAACTTGATCTCAATAGATTTTAGAAGCTAGCCGTTCTGGAGATGATGTTAAACTTTCATCACTTTTAACACCTCTTAATGTAAACTGTCATGCGAGTGATGGTCGTAAATCTACACCTTTACATTTAGCTGCTGGTTTTAATCGTGTCCGTTGTGTTCAGCTACTTCTTAGGCATGGTGCTGATGTACACGCTAAAGACAAAGGGTAAACAATCTTTGTAATATTAAATCAAACATAAATTGTTTTTTAGTTGTTTAGGTTTAATAAAGTAAAATGAAATTTAATAATATTACAGGGGTCTTGTACCTTTACATAATGCTTGCTCATATGGTCATATTGAAGTAACTGAAATGCTTATAAAACATGGAGCTTGTGTAAATGCTATGGATTTATGGCAATTTACACCTTTGCATGAGGCTGCTTCTAAATCACGTGTTGAAGTATGTTCATTATTATTAAGCAAAGGAGCTGATCCTACATTAGTAAATTGTCATTCCAAGTCTGCAATAGATTTAGCTGCAACTAGAGAACTTCAAGAAAAATTATCTTGTTAGTATAATAGTTAAGTTATCATAATAATTTTTTCAAATATTTCATTCTTGAATCTTGTTTATTAATAGATGAATTTAAAGGCCATTGTTTGTTAGAATCATGTCGAATAAGTGATCTTTCAAAAGTGAAAAAGGTTTTGAACCAAGATACTGCTAAGTTCAAACATCCAATAACTGGAGAAACTGCATTTGTATGTTAATAAGTTATTTTTATATTTATTTATCATAATAACGTATTTGTCTTATAATTAGCAAGTTATAATTTTATACTATAAAGCATAAGAAATACTATCCCATTATCTACAGTTTTCTCTGTAGAATGTGTTAATATTTATATCCTATTGAAATATTGCAATGCTTTTATTTTGATAAAAATTTTACAAATGAACTATTAATCTAATAATTAATAAAAATAACTTGATAAATATTTCATGTGTTAGTAACTGTTATTTTATTATAAGTAAAACGTTTAGTTAATTGAAAAATAACCAATAATGAAAAAAGAAAAGATTTGAAAAATTTATATAAATTCAAATGCACAGTAAATTATAGAAGAAGGAAAATGCACAATTGTTAATTAACACAAACTTATTTAATAGCATAAGATATAAAATAATCTAGAAATAATAACTTTATTAATATTTTTAAAAGAGTTATACTTAATATTATGTTAAGCATTACCTACGAACCCAACCTAATAGTATATACCTATGGTGATAAAGTTTGTGAATATATGCATCATATTTAATTATACATGGATTTAATAAATTATTTTAATTATCAATAATTTATGTATGTGATATTGGTATATCAGCTATTGATAATTGATTTTTTTCAATATTGCAATAAATTACTAGAATAATTAAAACAATATCATTGTATAAAAAATATTGTTGAAGCACATTGCAGTTTTATTGATTATTTTACAGCATGTTACAGCTGCTTCGTTAGGATCTAAACGAAAACAAATTATTGAGCTATTGGCACGAAAAGGAGCTCAACTAAATGAAGTCAATAAAGAATTACTTACCCCATTACACATAGCTGCAGATTATGGACATTTTGATGTTATGGAAACTCTTATAAGACTTGGTGCTAGAGTTAATGCTATTGATGTACATGGTCAAACAGGTGAATGAATGATTAAGATTTTCATTTTTTTAAAGCAGATAAATATAATATTTATGTTTTGTATTTAGCATTGCATAGATGTGCAAGGAATGATAATATTCAAGGCTGTAAAATTCTTTTATCCTATAATGTGGACACCAGTATTACATCTGCACAAGGTTTTAAAGCTATTGATGTGGCTACAGATAATGTTAAAAAAATATTACAAGGTATTTTTTTCTTTTATTTAATTTTATTATCACCTTTTTTAATTTTAATAATTAACAAAAAACAAATTTCAGAACCTCCTGCAATTTTAGATTTAGAATCGGAACTATTAGAAGCATCAAAATCTGGAGATCTAGAAAAAGTACAAAAATTACTCACTGCTTATCCTAATATTGTTAACTGTCGTGATTTAGATGGAAGGTAACTGCTTTTATTATGAGAAACTTTATTTTACATTTTATTGATAATTCATAACTGTATTTTGTATGCTAGACATTCCACACCACTTCATTTTGCTGCTGGTTACAATCGGGTTGTAGTTTGTCAATACCTCTTAGCCCATGGTGCTGATGTCCATGCAAAAGATAAAGGGTTAGATATAGTTTTAATATACTGTGATATAATTAATTTTCTTTGAAAAATTTTATGCTTATGAATGTATACAGATGATACTTTTAACACTAGCCACTCAATTTTTCTTAAAGTAATAATTGTATTAAAAAAACTATTTTTGGTATTTTTTAATTTCATATATTCCTTCATTTGTCAGTTATTAATTACTTTTTTCATCTACCTAATAATGATGTCAACTTTATTTTTTTTAATGGCAACATATATATATATATATATATATATATAAATGACTGATTGATAACAACTTTTGACACATTATTTTATTACAATTTAAAAATATAGAATCGAGGTGTAGCGCAAGTATGACAATGTTAAATGTTGGCATTCATGCAAACATGTTTAATGATAAATTTTATCATTATATATTCCTCAGCTGCACCCCTAATCGCAAATAGATATAAAAATGTTTTTTATATTTTTTAATGACTATATGGAACTCATCAAAATATATATATATATTTTTTTATTGTGTTATTAGTCCGATTGAAATCTGAGTAGAATTAATAATAAATAAATTTTGCACAATCTATTGTTTGAAATGTGAGATACGAATATTATAATGAACACATCTATAAATTTGCTAATTACTAAAATGTATTGATTTTGTTTTATTCCATCAATTGTATTTAGAATGATTGCTTGACTTATTTTAAGAAAGTATGAAATGGACCTTATTTCTGCAAAAAATTTTATGTTAGTATTTTCTTTTTCATTTTAGCGGGTAGATATAAAAGGTTTTGTTTATTATTTGGAAAAGATATTAATTTATCGCAGAGAGTATTTGTTTTAACTATTAAAAATTTGATCTGTGGAAACTTAGATTGTGATACTATGTACCGAATGTATGGTAATTTATTTCTCATATGTAGTTATTGTTGTAGATGTATTTGTCGGTATATGATTGATGTAATAAAATTTATATTACCTTGATAATGCAATCATTTTTTGTGAGCTATAAATGCGGGAATTATAAGAAACACACATGTTTCACAGTTGAATTACATTAGCAACTAATTAATTTTATAGTATATTGTATAGTGTATATTATATCAATAATTATTTATGATTTATGAATAATATAATTTATACTACAACTTCATTCACTTAATTAACATGTCTATTATATTTTTTTTCAAATACATTTTAGTGGACTAGTACCATTACACAATGCATGTTCCTATGGACATTTTGAAGTAACTGATATGTTAATTAAACATGGTGCTAATGTTAATGTTTCTGATTTATGGAAATTCACACCACTTCACGAAGCTGCAGCTAAGGGAAAATATGAAATTGTTCGATTATTGCTACAAGTAACAGAAAATTTTATTTTTCTTTCTATTTAAAATTGTATAAGTAAAATATATTTTTTTATTGTATATTTATATTGTATAGCATGGTGCTGATGATACAAAAAAAAACCGTGATGGGCATACTCCTTTGGACTTAGTTAGAGATACAGATAATGATGTAGCAGATTTATTAAGAGGTAATGCAGCTTTATTAGATGCAGCTAAAAAAGGTATACTGGCAAGAGTCCAAAGACTTGTTACCACTGAAAATATTAACTGTCGAGATAGTCAAGGAAGGAATTCTACTCCTCTCCATTTAGCAGGTAATTTATTGAACTTCATATTTTTCACTATTGCTGATAGTTTTATTAATAACTTCTTTGAAATTTTAGCTGGATATAATAATTTAGAAGTAGCAGAATTTTTATTAGAACAAGGTGCTGATGTTAATGCTCAAGACAAAGGAGGTTTAATTCCATTACATAATGCTTCTTCTTATGGTCATTTAGATCTTGCTGCACTTTTAATAAAATATAATACAGCCGTTAATGCAACTGATAATTGGGGTTTCACTCCTTTACATGAGGCAGCTCAAAAAGGTCGTACCCAATTGAGTGCACTTTTAGTAAGTTTTAAGAATTTCATAGTTGAATTTTCAAACATATATTTAACTTGAAATTAATTATTTTCATTACTTGAAATCTTAACAGTTAGCTCATGGTGCTGACCCATTCTTACGAAATCAAGAAGGACAAACTCCATTAGAATTAGCCACAGCTGAAGATGTACGATCATTATTAACTGATGCAATGGCTAGTCATCCTGGTGCAAATGCAGCAGCCAATAATTCTCTTTTTGTTGCCACCCTTCCACCCTTGTCACCTGAAGAAATTGCAACAGTTGTTATGCCATCTGGAGCATCAGTTGCTTTGCCAAGTCCTGGAGGATCTGGAAGATCTTATTTGTTAGGCTCACAAGCTGATGGATCAGTTAATGGATATGAAAGTGCTCATCCACATCCTAATTGTGCAACCTTATCAACCATACAGGGATTCTTATCCAGGTTATTTTATATATATATATATATGTTTTTTTTATAATAAAGTATGAATATTTCTTCTTCTTTTTCCTCACCTTAATCCCAACTACTCTTATTCTAAACGTCCACTTGATATAATCTCCCACATCTACGCTTACATTAGCCATCCTCATATCACATTCAATAACATCCCCTCCATCTCTTTTTTGGTCCTCCTCTACTTCTTCTTCCTTTAACATTAATTCTATAATTGTTCTTATAGCTTCCGATTTCTCTCTCTTCATAACATGACCAAAAAATCTAAGTCTATTTTCTCTCATCTTACCCATGTTTGACGCTATACCTATACTCCCTCTTATATGTTTATTCTTCATCTTATTTTCTCTAGTTACTCCACTCATCCATTTAAGCATTTTTATCTCTGCTACACTTATTCTCTGCTCTACTTTCTTATCAACCGCCCAACACTTTGAAGCATACATCATAGCTGGTCTCATTATAGTCTTATAGAACTTACCTTTCAGCCTTATTGGAATTTTTTTATCGCATTACACACATTTCATTTTTCCTATAACATCCTCATCGCTTGTTGTCACTTCACTCATTTCACCTACTTCATTTTCTCCATTGTCAAACTTGTACTCACATACTCTGTCTTACTCCTTTTTATTCTTAATCTTTTTCCTTCAAGAGCTATAATAAAATATTAATATTTATATATTTATTTTTCTTATTGTAGTTTGGGATTAGAACATTTAAATGAAATATTTGAAAGAGAACAAATAACTTTAGACATTTTAGCAGAAATGGAGCATGAGGATTTAAAACAAATAGGAATAACTGCATATGGTTTTAGACATAAATTAATTAAAGGAATGGAAAAACTTGTCTCAAAACATGGTATATATATATTTTTTTTTTTACTTTTTATACCCATTAAGGCCATAGAAACCTACCCCATAAGGGAGATTTTCTTAACTATTGATACTCTGGAATGGATGATTAGACTATCACCAGAAAGAAGGATGAGGATCTTTAATTACCAAACTAATTTTTTACTGAGTATATAAAGTCACATTACGAACTTGGCCACATCGTTCCTTAAAACATGGTTTGTATGTGTGTATATGTATGTATAGGATACTGCAAAAAATTATCAAGTTTTAAAAAGCTATAGAGCAAAAACTATTAAACTTAGTGACATAATTTTTTTTTATTATTCGAAATTAGATTATACAGTTTTTTTAAATTAAATTGTATCATTTGCTATTTAAAAATGCTTGGTGATAAAAATTAGTAATAGTATACCTAATGTATACAATTAAAATTAATTTTTTGTTCAAATAGTTTTTTTTCTTAATTCTGTAATTGTAATTTTTTTTATAGGTGGTGTTTGTTCAGGATTATCTGGTGGAATGCCTTGCACTTTATTAATTGATCTTTTAGCAGAAGATAAAGAATTTATTACTGTTGAACAAGAACTACAAAGTACAATCAGAGAACATCGTGATAATGGTCAATCCGGTGGAATATTTAATAGATACAACATTGTTAGGGTAAATATTTTATTTCAAAAAGTTGTCAACCAAAATTTTACTTTTGAAAAATCAAGTATTTGAGTTTAAGTAAGAAATTTTTCTTACAAATGAAAATATTGCTTTAGCTTCTTTTGTGAATTCCTATTTATTAAGTTTTTTCTTTTATGTTCAATGTATCATATAATGTTTTTGTAAAATTTAATTAATCATCTAGATACAAAAAATTCAAAATCGTAAGTTATGGGATCGTTATATGCATAGAAAACGAGAAGTAGCATTAGAAAATGGAAATCAAGCTAATGAAAGAATGTTATTCCATGGCTCGCCTTTCATAAATGCTATTGTTCAAAAAGGCTTTGATGAACGACATGCGTATATTGGAGGCATGTTTGGAGCAGGTATAATTGATATATTAAAATAAAAATAAAATAAATTTAATACAATACAATAAATATGTGTTTTTATTTGAAGGTATATATTTTGCTGAAAATTCCTCTAAAAGTAATCAATATGTATATGGTATTGGTGGAGGAACAGGTTGTCCTACACATAAAGATAGATCTTGCTATCAATGTTTGAGGTAAAAATTTATAAAATATTGATTACTTAAATTTATGTTAATGTAATTGTATTATTTTTGTAACAGACATTTACTTCTTTGCCGTGTAACTCTTGGTAAATCATTTGTACAATATAATGCAATTAAAATAGCTCATGCACCTCCTGGTCATCATTCTGTAATGGGAACTCCTAGTGTTGGTGGATTAAATTTCTCAGAATATGTTGTATATAGAGGAGAGCAGGTGAGAATAATAGTTTTATCATTATGATAGTATTAATGATTATTTTATATTTAGGCTTATCCAGAATATTTAATTGCTTATCAAATTATGAATCCATCTGAAAATATAGAAAGTAGTTAGCCAATTTAAGCACCTTTATAATATTGTTCCTTTTTAAAAAATGTAGTGTGATTATTTTTGACTTAATTAGGTGTAATTTTCTTCTACTTCTGATTATAAATAATTTTACAGTTCAACTATAATTTTTGAAAATATAACTATTGCTATTGTAAGAATCAATATTCATGTTGTGCAATAATAGTTATAAAATTTATATAATTTATTTATTTTTATATATTATGTCTGTTTATTATGACATCATAAAAAAGTAGTCTCGGTTTTAAATAAAATTATTTATATAAGTGAAATAAAATACATTTCAAGACATTATTTTACTATAAATCCGCTTCAGTTAATAGATTTTTACCGTATTAAAATGATTAACTTACAGTATGATACTGAATATTTATTGAATTTCATATTATATATTATATTATGTGTAAAAAATTATAAATAAGTTAAATCTTTATTTATTGGTTGTGAAGTAACTTTTTTTTTACATTCCATTTTTTAGGTCATGTATATATGAACTAAATTTTTATAAACATTGTATTAATTTAGTTTATTTAAGTTAGTTATTTTAAAGGATTTTAACTAACTAAAATAATAGTTGAACAACTTTTTTTATCCAAATTTTTATTTAAAAATATTTGGTGCTCAGTATAAAAGTAAAAAGTTTAAATTACCATAAACTATTTCTACTAAACAATGTCAATGTAATTTTAGTTTTCCTCGAGAGAACAACTCTTCTTATTCTTCAAGACCTTTAAATCTAGTTTATATCATTTATTTTCCTATATTTGTAATGTTAAATATACTCAAGATTTTACTTCAGGAAACTAACATATTTGAAATAACCAAAATAATGAAACCAATTTTAATTGTAAAAAATATCTGGATGATGATTTCTTTTTAGTTGAAAAAATCAAGATTCGTGAATGAATAATTTTTTTCAGTTTATTTAAAAAGTTATGTATATATTATTTTAGATATAATATAAGTCATGAAAATCGAGTAATTATGATTGTTAATTCTTACATTTGTTAGTTTAATTGTATGTACAGCTTGTTATGTAGTTATAGTAAATGATAACAATAATGAAATTATTAATAATAAAAATTATATATTAATATAAAATAGCTTAAAAATATACTTTGACTGCCATTTCTTTGTATCTTAAAAATTTTTTTTAATTCAATTATTTCTTAAAAAGATATTGAAACTATGTGTGCTGAACATTTAATTTCTTTATATGAACACTTAACATAATTGAATGAATACTAGACAGTGGAGCAGTTATGGTTTTTCTCTGAGGGGATATATAGAATGTTCAGTAAGGAAACGGGTTTCTATTGTTCTCATTTTTTGTAACAATTTACCTGTTTCCATACTTACTGAACACTCTGTATACAAGAAAAATGTTATTATATTTCAAGAAACTAATAGTAAAATCTAAAGTGATTAATTCTTCAAAAGTATTTTAGTTCACATTAATTAATTAATAAATAATGACCTTATCTCATAGAGGTTTACTATTAAGCAAAATCTTATTTTGGATAAGACTATCTATCACTGAAATATTAAAACATTTGCAAACAGTAGCAGATTACTGTTAAGCTGAGTTCCTATTACTCGTCTATTTGCCGAATATAGGGCGAATACCAAATATTCGTCTATTCGTACAATTATTTTGTATTTTCCATGATTTTATTGTTATTTAATGGTCGTTACAAAAAAACCCAACACAGAGGGGTCGCCACACAGTGAGGACGTGGCATAGTTGGATTAAGTATAGTGATATCTGACAGTGTTTAAATCACTTTAATAAAAAGCGCTTCAATGCAACTCTGTAGATAGTTTTTAATTATAAAAAATTGATGGATTATTCCAAAAGCTATATGATCTCCTATTTCCTTATTTATATCCCGATTACAAGTTTATGATTTACAAGTGTAATATATGAATATTTCAAGAGAAATGGTTTTATTGAAAAAAAAAAAGTATGCCGAATGAAAGAGGTATATAAATAGTATTTATCATAAAAAAATTGTATTGATCTATACATTTTTCAAAAAGTTATAGCATTATAAAATTAAAAATATAAAATAGAATTTTTTTAGAAAAATCTAAATATAATAGAAACTATCGAAAAATTTATAGAACATAGATCTATTTTTTATTATATTATTACACGTATTAGATATTTTTTAAGCTTATTATTAATATTTGAATTTTGTTTCAATGTTTTGATGACTTTATTTTCTTATAAACTATATTTTTATTATTTATTACAAATATATACATACTTAAGATAGATATCTATTATAATTTATTTACCTTAGGTAAAACGTCATACTTTCTTTATAAAGTTATGCCTATTATAAAATGAGTAATTATTCAAAACGATGTGACCATATTTAGGGGTGGTTAAGGGGGGCGAATGTCATTTGATAGTGATGGGACAAAAAATTACTTTATTTTACTCATTAATATTAATACCTCACGCAAAAATCTTAAATACATGATGGTATTACTACCCTCATAACTGATTTTAGAGCGATGTTGAACAGTGCAGATGATAAAGCGCCACCTTGTCTGAGACCAGTTATTACTGGAAACTCCTCAGATAATTCTCTTCAAATACTAATTTCACTTTTTGAATTATATATGCACGCTTTTATTTATCTGGTTAACTTGGCAGGTATTCCTAACTGGCCCCTGACTTCCCATAATTTTTCTCTGTTGATTGAGTCATTCGCTGCTTTAAAGTCAATAAACAGTAGATGTGTATCTTTATCGAATTTGTGACTCTTCTCAACAACTTGTTTTATTATGCGTATTTGATCTATTGTTGATGATTTTCCTAACATAAAACCAGCTTGTCATTCTCCAATAATTGGAAATAATTATTATTTCTTTGGTTTTTATTATTTCTTTTGAATTGATTTTAGTCAGTAGTATGTTAGACAATAGTTTAAATGTTGTATTCAGTAGTAAAATCCCTCTATAATATTCACACTCCATGATGTCTCCTTTTTTGTGTACAGGTTATATGATGGATATACGCAATGCATCAGGGGGTCTATTTTTGAATCGTCCGTTCGTCGAACGTATACGTTCGTTGAACGGACACGTTCCTCAAAATAAAATAAAATAAAACAAAATGGTTTCTATTATCCGTTGTGACGAACGTTTTTTAATGTTTTGAACGGTCGTCCGTTCGATGTTTCATACGTTCCGAACGTGTTCACGGACAACGTTCGCCATATAAATCTATATAAAATAAAATCTGAACGTATACGTTCGTGAACGGACGATTGAAAAATAGACCCCCTGGTATCTCCTATTGTTTCCATACTGTGTTCATAAGTTTGTGAAGCTGATTCAGCAAACCTTAGCCTCCCTTTTTTAGGAACTTAGATACTATTTCATCATCTCCCGGTTCTTTTCTATTTTTTAGCATATCTAGTCCTCTCTTTACTTCTTCTTTTATTGGTTTTTCCAGTAGCTGTTCTACGGTACTGTATTCAAGTGCGGTAATGTTTTCATTTGGTTGGCTTATTTTTCTTTATAGATCAGGGAACATCATGCATGTTATAAAAATATGTATCGGACGATCACAGGTTCTGGAGGATGGGTGGTAGTAGAGACATGATAATTATATGTTAAATTAAAAATAATTAAATTATCTACATCCGTACATAAGCGATTTTTTATAAAAAAAAGTTATAGTTTTTTAAAATTTACATTTTTTTTAAACTGTCATAACTTTGTTTAAAATTTGTTTATTCGATACTCAAAAGTATACTTAAATGTCTAATTTTTGTTTTGTTAAGTTGAAGCTAAAATTAAAAAGTAAATACAATCTAATCCAAAAAGACATTATAAAGTACAAATAAAATAAAGATTATTTTTAAGTGTTCGTATTTTTACTCAATTATTCAAGTAGTGTCGAATTTAGAAAAATTTACGAAGTATCAAATTATTAGAATATGTAATTTTATATTCAAAAACGTGTATAACTATTCGTTTTCATTAAGTTTGAGCTATTAAAAAGAAGTCTAAACTTTAAAAAAATGCACGTAGTTTCTATATGTTTATTTCAATTTTATTGAGCTTGAAAACATATTTTTATTAGTTGGTGAACCATCATTATAGCTTATAAAACCAAGCTTGTTTATTTCATACCTTCGTTGGTTTGTTATGGGCTATACTTCTTAACAACTCTTTCTAATTATCACAAAATATTACACATTCTTAATGACAAAGGTTATAGTTTACTTTTTCTTTGTTTTTGACTCACAAAAATATTTTTCTCTATATTACAATTTAAAAAAACTTGAATAATAAAAAAAAAATAAAAAGGTTATCTCAACTAAAAAATTCAAACAGTGTTAATCATGTTGGGTGTAACGGTATAACCTCTTAACCATCCCCTCTATTTGCGCCACTTTATTAAACATTATGAGTATTTAATATTCTAAAAATATGTTCCAATCGTATTTTAATGTAATCAAAAACTATTTAAAATACAAAAAATTTATTTGAATACTTTAACAAGATTGTTTTATAAATACTATTAACAATATTTTAAAATCAACTTATGGAAATGCTTTATCAAATATTAAATATTATAGAGCTTTTATTTTTAGAAAAAATATATAAATTTAGATTTTACATATATTTGAAATTAATAAATACATTTTGTTTTACATTATGCTTACACTTAAAAATATAAAACTAAAAACTTATTAACAATAAAAGTAGTAAAAATAAAATTTTGATAAAATATAAATCAAGTGTTAATGTAATAAAATAAAAATAGTAGTTTTTAATAACATCTCTTTTAAATTGAATATAGTGAAAGGAATGTAAAAAATACTTGTACAACACTAAAGGCCATATTCTTAGTCAGCTTTTATGAATAAGCTTATAAAGAAATGGATTTATAAAAAAATTACTAAGGATATAACAATGATCATTCAATTATAATAAATACTTAAAAATTATATCACAGAAGTTACTTTTAATCTTAAATTTTATTATTGAAAATATTTTGAACAGTATCATCATCACCTCCATTGATGTAAAGTTTTCGTTTAAGTTTTTCACATATTTCTTTTTCTAATTCACTTAGAGTTTATTCAAGTTAAAGAAGAACGTACAAGATGAAAAAAATGATATTTAATACTATATAGCTAATTAAATGTATCAACTAATATTAAAAATACATTTTTTTTATACTGGCAAGTATCAATACAAATTAAAAGTTATAAAAAGGATATTATCAATACTTATTTTATTTTGACGACAGATTAATATTAATAATGCAGCCCTGTAAATATATCCACTATTTGATAATATTTTCAATACATTATTGAACTTCTTTAATGATAACAGCACTAATACTGCGCCTTCCTGAAATATCATAGGTTTTACTTAAATTTTTAATAGCATTATGCCTATCTTATCAAATGTATAAATTGATATAACTAAACAATCTTATTAAGAATTAAACAATTTTTAATGTAACATACACAATTTTATTTTAACTTTACACTAAATTATAGCAATATTTGGGGTTTGAATTACTATATTTTATATATTCAGTAATAATGCAACCAAAACTCATTCATTAGTCTAACAAACTATTGAATTGATATACTTTAGAATCATTAATATTTAATATTTAACAATTTTTAAAATATGTTTTATTATAAAATTACTATTTTGATATATTCCAAAAATAGATAAAAGGCAATATTACATCTATTTACTGTATGCGGCAAAGGCTACTTTTGTGATCAGTCCCTCAATTGTTAAAAAATACCTATAATAGTGTTGGCCAAATTTTTATTTAAACATTTTTAATAATATAAATACTTGATTGACCTTCCATTAATAAAAAAATAATTTTTCTTTTATTATGATATAAAAACAATTGTTACTAAAATACATATTTGTAAAGTAAAAGTATTTTTGGAGCATTATATTTTTAATAGCATTCCCCACTACTTTTTTAGTAGGAAACTGTTTTTTTGCTATTAGCATTACTTTCCTAGGGTGGCTTATAATACAGTTTAGAAACTACTGATCTATTTTATTTATATTTAAAAACTATCAAATATTGGTCTAAATTTATGAATATTATATCACCTGCTGAGAACAATACATCTAATTCAAAAATGATAAAAGATATCCTAAGTGTTATTTAATAGGTTAATTTTATTGAGTATGATTTATTGCTAGTTGAACTAGTGTTCACTAGAATAAAATTGTTATAAATAATTGTTTTGGAGATACGAACTACAGCATAAAAATTAAAAATCAAGGTGTATTTAAATACTTACATGATCTCTATTAGTCAATAAATGATCTGCCCAACTGTGAAGTACAGTATCACAATCATCATTTGATAATGAGCACTTGGCTAACCATACTGCTAGTTCCCATTGATTATAAGATATAAGATATCGACATGCTTGAGATCCTTTACCAATCATACACAAAAGCTGAATACCTAATTTATATAATGTGGTACATTATAAATTAATATGATTTTAAATTTTACAATAATAAAAATACTCAGTAGCACATTTGTTTAGAGGAGGAACATAATATTTTCAACACTTTATTTTGTGGATATATTAAATTACTTCTTACAATTTAAAATATATCAAACATATTTTCCCTTTATATCTAACATAATAGGAAAATAATTAACAATACTACATAAAATACACATTAAATTTTTCAAATGAAACTAAATATTTAGAGGGTTTTTGATTATTTTATTTAAATATGAATAAAATATTATCTTGAATTATTTTCATTACCTTCATCAATCCTATTGTCAGCAATTAAATTAGTTGCAACTAATTTTATAGTACTTTGATTACTATTTGAATCTACCGATGCAATTAAGCATGCCCTAAATTATAATGAAATAAATAATAAGTTATTTACTATCTTCTATAGTTGAGTAATAATTTAAAATTATATATTTTTTAAGTACTTATTGAAAAATAACTTTACTTACTTTAATGCATCTGTATAATAATTAGGATCATTTACATTAGTGGCTAAAAGTAAATTTAAGGCTTTAGTTTTTTCACCAAGTAACATAAATTTATCTACAACACGGCGCATATGCATATAATCTCCTCTTTTCCATTCATGCAATAAAACTCTTTCTAATTGCATTTTCTGAAACAAAAAAATCATTGCCAACCATAAAAAAAAAAAAACATAACTTTTTTTACTTTATAAGTCATGCAGTCACAAACAATGTCATAGCATGAATCTAACGGTGAAACTATACTGGTTACGGAATCTTGGTTTAAATTAACATAATATGATGCAACAGTCCAAAATTGTACTTCATTTTTTAATCCTAGAAATTGACATACAACTACAGCTCTATCAATTAACTTATTACAAAGTTTCATTTCATTCCATGGAATAAAAAGACAAGCATTTTTTATTACTATGAAAGAAAAAATAGTTTATTATGAAAAATATAAAAATTATTTTTGAACAATAAAAAACTTACAAGATAACTCATAGTTATTAAATCCCAGTTCACTATTAAAGTCTTTTGTACCATTAACTGTAAGCCAAAACTGAAACATTCTACAAAGATCACGATCTAAAACTACAGGTGAACCTTGTAATTCTAAAGCAAAACATTTTAATTATAATAAATTTCACATAAATTACAAATTGTATTTTGACAAAATCAATCATGTAAATGAGTCACAAACTGAACATGAGTAGTGGTTTATATTAAAACCAATTAAAACACTAATAAGAATTATATTCATGACTAAAGTATTTTGAGCACCTTAGATATTAAATAGTCAGTATTAAGTCTGTTATGATATTAATAGTTCATATCAAGGAAAATAGAGACAAATTGTGATAGTAGCAAAAACTCTTAAAGAATAATAAATGCAAGCAGAAAAAGATGAAGACTATTTACTTGATTTTATACATAAAATATTTAAATCGTTATGAGAAGTTCTTATTTTTTATTTATTTATGTGGTTTTTATAACCCAAATAATTTAATATCTTAAGATATTATTAAATATTTTAAAACTTTACTCTTACCATCAAATTTATAACTGTAAATTGAAGAAAAGGATTTAGTTAACTTCAGATCAAACACCCGAATAGATTGATCATTAAATAGAATAACTGGATGTTCAGAACTAGCCCAATCAGCATCAATTATTTGTAATTTTTTATCAACTTTCAGAGTTGAGATAGATTCAATTGATTGTGGAGACTTAAAAATAGGTTAATAAGCTCAAAAATTATACCTGTTTTTATTTTTTATTTCAATACTTACCCCAAAAACATTTAAAATATCAATACCATCAGAAGACAAACATAAGAATCTAAAGTTTCCTGCCCCAGGAGCAAATTTCAATTTAACAATATCAATACGATTAATATGATGTTTTTGTTTATCAGTAGGATTACTAAGATCCCATACAAATAAAACTCCATCATTATCTGCTAATAACGCAACATTCAACTTGCTTGTCAAATATACATTTGGTTTCAGGACTATCTAAATAAAAAAAAAATTAATAATCATTTATTTTTATCAATATACATTTACAAAATAAAAATAAAATTTGCAACTAGACAGAGCTACATAGATGGACTACTCTTTATTACTAATTGCAGTGGCGCGACTACTAGAGGTGCTAAGGGGTGTACTTCAGCATCCTCAGGCTCTAATATATTCCCTGAATTTTAATGCCTATAGTTTTAAACCATGTATTTTTAATAATAAAAAATGTATTATTAATTTTTTTTCTTATCTTGCATTACGTTTAAGCTATACTACTATAGCAACAAACAAAATTGTTATTTTGAGTATACTGAGACATCTTAAGCGACTGATCAACCACTATCATTAGCTTGGTTATAGAGCCATCTATAAACTGCTATCATTAATACTGGTATTATACATCATATCATTATAGAGTCATATATGTTAGTGTATTGGATTAGTGGGTGTAGGGGACTTTGCCCTCAACGATTTTGTGGGCATTACATAATTTTATCACCACTACATATTTTTCTAGTTGCGCCACTGACTATATGCATTATTTGAAACTATTGAATATAAGACACTGTTGCAAAAAGTGCAAGGAGTATATGGCTACCTCTGCATCAATATTTACATTATTGATATATATCCATAATTCAAAGTTAATCCAGCATTGATTGCAATAAAATATCTTTAAAAAAGAAAAAAATATATACAATATGATAATTTTATTTTTTTTTAATACTCAATAGCTAGTTATAAAGCAAGAAAATTAAAAAAAAAGTTTGATTATATATATAAGATGAATATTAATAACATGAATAAAAGTTGAGATTAAAGTCTTCTTTTTAGCAAACTTACTCCAGGTTCAATCATTGTTCCAGGTTTTAGAAAACTATTGGTGTCAATTAAAAATGCATAAAGATTACCAACAATATCTGAAACTAATAAACTTTCTGGAAATTTCGATCCAATTTCATTTTCTGAACAATAAATTCAAATAATATAGCCACATAAATGCAAAAATTACAAAATAATTCAGCAAAAATTTACCTTCAATAATAGGAGTAGTTAAACTACTTTTCTTTCCTTTTTGCATATGACATTGAACCCATTCCTTAAATTTTTTTTTTTTAATAAATGCTTTAAATAATTCAAAAAATGTTCATAAAATATTTAAGAAAAAAGAATAATTAAAATTTATGGTATTCTTTAGTGTATTTAACTGATTGGTATTATATAATTCAGGTTGGAATAAAGCCATGTAAAATATTTTAGATTAAATCTAAAATATTTAGATATGAGGATATGAGGACAGTTGATGTGAACGTAGATGATGTAGGGGATTGTGTCAAGTGGAAATTTAGGATAAGGGTGGATGACCTACTTGGTAGTTAGGATTAAGGCGAGAAAGAAGAAGAAGAAGATTAAAAAAAAATATTAAAATAAATAATGACCAATAATAAATATTTTAATTTAAACATCAAGCCTAGAAAAAACTGTTCACACTAAATATTTCAATACTTTTTTTTTAGATAAAATATGAAAGATAATCCTTAAGAATTAAATGCTTAATACCATGCAAACTGCAGGAGGAAACCTTTTTGACATTTTACTTAACATTGACATTGATTTCAAATCCCAAATTTCAATAGGTTCATCTTTTATACCTATAATAAAATACTGTCTGAAAGTTATAGAAATACAATTAATTTTTGTATTTATTAAATAAAAGATAAATATCATCAACTTTTACTTTAATGGTGAAACTTTTATAAATAAAATTGGCGGTTCATCTGATTTGGTTATTCTTATGGGAGTAGATAGTCCACATTGAATATCAGTTACTATAACCTGACTCTTAGTATTTGAAGTATATGAATAAAATGACCATGAAAATAAATAATCATGACATATCCATTCAATACCCCTAAAAAATATTAAAGTGTATGAAAATAAAAGTAATAAAATAATTTCATTTGTAAAATTTTATTTATATTATAATAAGAATTAAAAAACATTTTACTATTACAGAGTGCGTCAGTCAAACAAATGATTTTGAAATTGCAGTCAAAAATGAATTAACACTAAACAAAATCTATTTATACCATTGTAATCTATATAAAAAATGATTTATTTTAAATTTATAATTTTTTGAAAACGATGTTGCTATGATGACATTCTTCTCTTACTAGAATCCCAGCACATTTTATGAGAAATTCAGACAACCTTTTGATAAATTTATTTTTTAAGTGTACTAAGTGTAGCTGGTCAGTGCTCATTGATTTTGTCATTAAGATAGCCCAAAAAATATAATCATAAGCTGTCAGATCAAGAAAAATGGTATTGCTCCATTCTTGACCTGAATAAACTTCATTTAGTAGGATATGGCTCATATCCTGTTTTGCTGGGATAAAGTTTCATTATACAGAAATAGTTAAGAAAATAAAAATGTGCTTAATATTTAGGAATATTACTCAGCATTAATAGTGACAGCTTCTCCACATTCATTATCGGTTCATTAAAAAAAAAAAGAAAAGAGGACCAATAATATCAAATGAAGAAATGGTATACAAAACTTTAACCTTAAAAGAATGAAGAGGTTGCAAATGATGGTGGTTGATTTCAAAAGTGCAAATTGTATTGTAAAATTCTTTGAACCGTTAATTTGGAAAGTTGAAGTGATAAAATTATAAAAATAATTTGATAAAATAGATTTATGTTTTATACAAAAATATCTAATATAATCAATACAACAAACCTGACTGGATGAGAATGGACATGATACTCTTTCATCATAAGCCCTGTGGCTAAATTAAAAATAGCCAGATTTCCAGAAACAGTACCCACAGCTAAAAGAGGTTTATATTTTGTTCTATTGGTAGAAGTCAGTGGTGGACAATATTTAATGACATTCAATGTAGACTCCAGACTTGGTAAAATACTACGAGGGTATAAACGAACTTTAGGTATTAAACCTTGATTCTGTAATAAATAAATAATTATTAGTAATTAAATGAATACAATTAAAATAAAATTTTAGATACAAACATCATTAAATGAAGGAAATGTATTGCATAAAGCAATTTTATGACCATCATGCCGACCTAGATAAAATGTTGTGTCATTGAATGTTGACATGATTTTCTCCAATTCAAAAATCATTACTTTACCAGTACTTAGTAATACAGCTACAATTTCATATAAGTATTAGTTGAATTACTATCATGGTATAAACTATTGTGTTACTATTTTTATTAGTATATTATTCAGTAGACATATTTACATTTAAAATGTTTTTATAACTTTCAAAGGGTCATATTTATCCATAAAGTAAAGGTATTTTAATGAGAAAGATAGTTAAAAAATAACTAATAACTAAGCTGATTTCTTGGGCAAAAAAATACATATAACAAAGCATTGAACTTATCACAGAGTGATTCAAGTATCACCTTTTTAAATACCCCATCCCACCACTTTTTTATTAATAAATTCAAGTCATACCAAACAAATTAGTGAAAATTAGATAAATAAATATTTTCAAGAAAGGAAAAAACAAAATGGATTTTATTGGAATGGCTCTATTTATATTGTATTTTAACTTATTTTTAAAATACTTCAAGTACTCCAATAAATACAGAATAGTCAACATTGATGTTTTAACAAATTAATAACTTTTGATCAAGCAAATATTGTGCATTACTTTTTTCTAAAATAGTTTTTGAAGTTTGGAACTATGTAAAAGCATATTTTTTCCTATTATGACAAAAATAAATAAAAATAAGTGTTTTATTTTATTAATATTTTTAAATATAAAAATGGTCATTTTTTGATAAAAAATTAAAAATAAGTACTTATTTTGTTACAAGTGTTTAAATACATATTGTAGACATGTAAAAGGGCTGAGCAAGAAATCTCAATTGATCAGTATCTGGATTTGTCATCCAGATTAATACAAATTGAAAAAATAATGCTAACTTGAAAAAACTGGACCTCGGATTGAATTTGTTAATTTGTAAAATAATTATTTTATAACACAAAATTCTTCAATATCCATAATTATTTAATGTTAAATTTATTTCATATAATAAAAATAGTTTTGATGGATTTAATGAGCAATCCGTCAAAATTTGGATTCAATCTATAATCCGGACTAAATATTGATGAAAAATGTGCAGTTTGTACTGGTGTATGCGCACTCCACCCATATTACATACCTTTTCTATGTATAAAAATACTAGCAACTAAATAAGTACTTATCCTAAGGTTATTATCAAACCATCAAATTTTATTTGTGTAAAAAACAATTTGTAATAAATGGTAACATACAATCTCTTTGAAAAGTTATTAATTAATAATACACTAATAAGATATAATTTACACTTTAATTACTAATAACTAACACACCGCAATGTTTTTCAGTAATTGGGCAAACAACAAATCCGAGTACTTTTGAATTTTTCGCTTGCCTAATAATTTCACTTTGTGCTTTATGTTCATACCATAAATATGTATCAGTCGAAGATTCTATGAAAAATAAAAAACAATAATCATAATTAATGATTTTAAGATAGCTTACCATTTCCAGATACAGCTATTGGAGAAGCATCCATGGGTGAATTTAAATAATTAGCGATAGGTTTACGCCTAAGTTTTACTGATAAACTGCCAGATTCTTGAAGGCAAAACACAACATCACGCTGTCGGCATGAGTAAATCTAAAAATAATTTTGCATCAATTTTTTTTTTACAGCAAAGAAGCATTCATAAAATATCATATATAAAATTTAATTAACCTGTATAAAAGGAGAAAGACATCGATCAATACTAATTACACCAACAGTCATACTAATATCTAAGTCTAGAATTATTATATCATGCTGATACATAAGAAGAATATGATTTCGTAAAGCTTTATGATATGTAAACTGTATACATTCATAAGCTGTTAAAGTAGAATCAACCCTAAAAACAAAAAGAGAATACACTTTTACTTATCAATATTTTTAGTTTACTTACTTTTGTTGAGATTCACCAAGTACTAATCCTTTCATCAATCTTTTAAACCTAGTTCTAGGACGTGAAGATTCTTCAGTTACAATACTACTTTCGCTTGTAGCACTGTTAGAAATATAAAGTTTTCTCCCATTTCCATTAAGAGTAGTTCTTCTATCAAAGTTGTCAAAAAGTAATATACATTCTGAACATAAAACTAGAATAAAAAATAATATAATTTTACAGAAATCATAATTTCTTTAAGCAACATATAACTAACTTACATGCAATTTTGTGTTGATGAAATGGATCAAAAGCAAAGTCATTAATTGTCTCAACAAAAGTTTTCTTCCATAGTCTGGTACCTTTACGGACATCAAATACAGAAAATGTGAAAGGAGAGTGAAGAATAGCTAACAATAAATCATTATGTGGTGATGATGGTAACCATCCTAATCCTACAAAATAAAATTAACATAATTTAAACAACCTTTTTTTAAACAAACAAAATATTATAACCTTACCAATAACAGGTTTTGCTTGTTCTGAGTCTATCCATGTAATGAGTCGTCCTCGACATACATCCCATAAAGCAATATCACCAGAAAAATCAGCAGAAACGAGTTCTGATGATGCTCCTGAATCACTGTCAAATGGAACCCATAAAAGCTAAAAATAAACAGTGTAGTTGACAAATTTTAGTTATTAACAACTTTTCTTTAAAATTTACTTTTTTTACTGCTGATTTGTGGTAGGTAAAACACTGAACTGGAATAACTTTATTAGAATCAATCACTACTACAAGGTTATGTGCTCCATAAGCTAAAAGTCCATTTTCAGACCTTAAATAAGCAATTTATTTTATATAGTACTTCTGTATAAAATATTTTATTTCTGTTATTAAAACTTTTTAAACAATTTAGAACAGAAAGTTATGTTAACTCATAATACTAGAAATTATTTTTTTATTTTTTTCATCAAATACAAAAAATTTAAGTAAAAACTGTATAATTAATGATGCTTAATAAAAATAAATATATTAAAATATTTTATGATATATTATATAATAATTAACTAGAAAATTTAACTTTTACTCATTTTTTTGGAATTAATAGTAATTTAAATTAATTAAATAATGAAACAGTAATTACCAATCAGCCGCTCCTTTATTCATAATATTGCACTGGTTAGAAAATGTCCTAGGTGCAATCAAATGTAATCGAGCAGACTGTTCACTTTCTATAGATAAACGTTTTTCCATTTTTAATTGAAAATTTAGTAAAACAAATTACAAACTAATATAACAACAAATTAAGTGTAATAATACAATTTTATAAATGTAAATTATATAAAGTTGTAATATAAATACAACTTTATACTTAAATAATATTCATATAGAATTTTACGAACTCATAATTGATTTTCACACAATTTGTTATTTACATTAACATATCAAAAATTTAAACAACTCATATTATTACTACTACATTATCTTATCTTCGTTGTCTTTTAATCACAGGTAAGATAGATTTATATTTTTTGTGGTTTAATCATAGATTGAAGAGAGATTAGGTTTTATCAATTTTTTTTATTGTTATCATATTATGATAAAAAGCTGGTAGAAACCAAATTTCAGTTGCCAACTCATCTGATGTCACATTATATCGGAACTAATGTACTTTAACTTCAGGTTTTAACCTCAAATAGTGACGTCATGTTACCGGCTTGCCACCGATTAGAATGTAAGCGTTCAATTTATTCAATACGTGTTCAAGCCGATACTACTAGATAAACAGTAATAGAATCTACAATTACACTAATAAATTACAATTGTTGACACGTTAATAATATTTGAATTATTATTATAATTATGGGTCACCATCGATAATAACAAATATATTTGAAAGAATATACACGGATACTTTTACGTGATAAAAACGATCCATGCTAGTTTTTAGTTTTAATCTAATGTTACAATGAAAACGTTACTGACTAACCCAGCCGGATGGAAAAGCCTTATTACATTTGCTGTTCTCTTCTTAGCATGGGTATCTGGTTTTTCTGCTCGATTATTTGCTGTCATAAGATTTGAAAGTATTATACATGAATTTGACCCATGGTAAGTATTCTCAATAAACTATGTAGACAACATTAAAAAATTATTTTTTATCAGGTTCAACTATCGAGCTACAGCTTATATGGTACAACATGGATTTTACAATTTCTTAAATTGGTTTGATGAAAGAGCATGGTATCCTCTGGGTAGAATAGTTGGTGGGACAGTTTATCCTGGTCTTATGGTAACATCAGGAGCCATACATTATGTTTTACATGCATTAAATATTCCTGTTCATATTCGAGACATCTGTGTATTTCTGGCTCCAATATTCAGGTATAAATATTTTTTTTATAGTGAAAAAATATTATTTTGTATCATAGCATATGTTATTACATATATTCTATATAATCAATAATTTTATAATAATATTTTTATTAATTAATAAAAATACAGTCATTTTTTTGTGTCTATATCTAATATCTTAAAAAAGATATTTTTTAGCATTGTTTAAATATATATACAAATACATAAGTAGTATTAATACCTTATTTTAATTTTTTAAATTATTGACAAATAAATTAAAAAAAAAAAAATGAAATTGTAAAATATTATTTTAATAGTTATTAAATTAGATTATGTATTAAATAAATTTTAATTTGCATCAATCTATAAAAAAATGATTTTAGTATAGAAAATCTATTATAACTATAGTTAAACTTTAAATTTAACAGCAAAAAAAAAAAAACCACTACAGTCAAGACCCAGCATTGTAGACATCCCAATATAGGTTAATATCTGACAATAGTTAACATAACTATTATAAAATTCTTTGGTATGATTGTGCATAATGAAATACAAGTAAAAAAAAAATTAGTAAATTTTAATAGAAATTTTTTATTTTAATGATCAATAACTAATAGCAAATAAGTCATCGGGATGCTTTTCTATTTTTAATCTTAAAGTTCATTTAAAAAAATAATTTTTTTTCTATGAAAACCAATTTTATTTAATAAATATTTTTTAAGACAATGTATTTTATTATCTCTATTAGTAATTATTATTTATTATGATCATACTAAAAATTTCCTTGGATGTTTTGTTTTAAAATTTTTTTTTATTTAGTGGTATGACAGCAATATCTACTTATTTCTTAACAAAGGAATTATGGTCTCCTGGTGCTGGTTTGTTTGCATGTTGTTTTATTGCAATTGTGCCTGGTTATATAAGTCGATCTGTAGCTGGTAGTTATGATAATGAAGGTATTGCTATTTTTGCTCTTCAATTTACTTATTATCTTTGGGTAAGTTTCATATACTTTTCAAATATTTCATGATATATGTATTTATCATTTTTATTTCAGGTAAAATCTATAAAAACTGGATCTGTATTTTGGTCAGTATTAACAGCTTTATCTTATTTCTACATGGTAAGTTTTTTAATTATTGAATGAATTCACATTACTTTAATATAATGATGTAATTTTTAGGTATCAGCATGGGGAGGATATGTATTCATTATAAATTTGATTCCCCTTCATGTATTCTTATTATTGATCATGGGACGCTATTCATATCGTTTGTTTACTAGCTATACTGTCTTCTACATATTAGGATTGGTATTAAGCATGCAAATACCATTTGTTGGTTTTCAGCCGATTAGAACTAGTGAACATATGGCTGCATCTGGAGTATTTGCGTTAGTCATGGCAGCTGGTGCATTTAATTACATACAAACTCGTATTACTAAGGCTGAATTTAAATTTATTTTCATATTTGCAACGTTAGTAGTTTCTGCTTTAGTCTTATTGACAGTAGTTGCTTTAACCTGGGCTGGAGTTATTGCTCCTTGGAGTGGGAGGTATAAATTTTTATACTGTATTAAAGTTCTATCATGATTAATTAAATTTTTTATTACTTTTGAAGATTTTATTCTTTATGGGATACTACTTACGCTAAAATACATATACCAATTATAGCATCTGTCTCTGAACATCAACCAACAACATGGTTTAGCTTTTTCTTTGATCTTCATATACTTGTTTGTATATTCCCAGCTGGTCTGTGGTATTGTATTCAGGAGTATAATGATGAAAGACTCTTTGGTATTTAAATAATAATATTTATTAAAATTTTATAAATATATATATTAATGTTTATTTTCCTGTTTAGTGGTCCTGTATGCTTTAAGTGCTGTTTATTTTGCTGGTGTAATGGTTAGATTGATGTTAACATTAACTCCAGCTGTATGTATTCTTAGTGGAATAGCTTTTTCCAAAATTTTTGAAAATTATTTAAAGGAAGATAATATTATAGTAAATACAAATATAAAAAATGATGAACGAATGACAATAAAAGAAAAAACCCCTTCAAAATCATCACAAGTATAATGCAAAAAAAACAATTGGGTACTTTAATTTTATCATAAAATACTTTATAGTCTTCTAGTTCTGGATCTGGAAAAAGTAAAAAAAATAAACCAGCAATCATATCTTCATCAAATAGTGATAATGATAATAGTGAAGGTGTTGGATCTAATATTAGAAGTCTTGTGACAATTTCTATGTTACTTGTTCTCATGATGTTTGTTGTTCATTGTACTTGGGTTACAAGCAATGCTTACTCTAGTCCGAGTATTGTATTGGCGTCTTTCAGTAATGATGGGTAACAAAATAAAATTTAGATTTTTTCCTTGTAATTTTTATAAAAATAACTATAATCTAAAAATTAATATATTAATATTATTAATATATTAATATATTTATCTATTTAATTTAAATAGATCCAGGCAAATATTAGATGATTTTCGTGAAGCATATTATTGGCTTTCACAAAATACCGATAATGATGCTCGTGTTATGTCTTGGTGGGATTATGGCTATCAAATAGCAGGCATGGCTAATCGAACAACCTTGGTAGATAATAATACTTGGAATAATAGTCATATAGCTTTAGTTGGTAAAGCTATGTCATCGACAGAACCAAAAGCATATGAAATTATGACATCTCTTGATGTAGATTATGTCCTTGTCATTTTTGGTGGTGTTATTGGATATTCAGGGGATGATATTAATAAATTTTTATGGATGGTTAGAATAGCTGAAGGAGAGCATCCCAAAGATATTAGGGTAATATTTTTTTTACCTACATTTAATACTATTCTAGTTGTAAATTTTTATTATATTACTATAACAAATATGTCATTTTAGTAATACTTAGCACTGAAATTTAGCATAAATAAAGTATTAAAGTATAGGAAAGTTATAATTTTTTTTTTTAACTTTTATACCAGAATTTTTCAAATTACTAATTAAAAAATTATTTAATTAATTAAGTAATACTCAGGGTTTGAAAAAAACTTATTAATTAAAATTTTGCAGGAATCTGATTATTTTACTGAACGAGGAGAATTTAGAATTGATAGTCAAGGCTCGCCAACTTTGCTCAATTGCTTAATGTACAAACTTAGCTACTATAGATTTGGAGACTTAAAAGTGATTTTTAATTAATTAATTATAAGTACTTAATTAATAAAGCCTATATTAACTAAACAAATAAATAGCTTGATTTCAGAACTCCAGCTGGGTTTGACCGTACACGAAATGCTATAATTGGAAATCAAAACTTTGATCTTACTTATTTAGAAGAAGCTTACACTACTGAACATTGGCTTGTACGAATATACAGGGTAAAAAAACCAGATGAGTTTAACAGGCCACGTATACCAGTTTCTGAAAGAAAGATAAGGTATCCTGGCGCATCAAATATTTCAAAAAAAGTAAATAGTTATGAAAAAAAAAAATTTTAATTTTTACTAATAATATACAAATTTACAGTCAGCACGTAAGAAAAAAGGAATTATTCAGGGCAAACCTGTTGTAGTTAAAGGAAAAAAACCAAAAACTACAAACACTTACACTAATTGATGTCAAAATAATTTATCAATATCAACCATATTACATGAACACATTGCTTACAAAATAATATAATTTATTATAATGCTGTTATTTTGGTTTTTTTCTCACAAAATAATAATATTTAACTTGTATATATGTGATTACAATAGAAGTTCAATATTAGTCATAAAAATTTTCTATTTCAAAATTATGCACATAAAATATTACTGTGTGATAATGGTTGTCATGTGATACATATGTTTATGTATGTTGTTTTACCTTATTTGTTTTTTTATTTAAATATATGTCGTTCGACTTTTATTTTAATCATGGCCGTTATTGAACACAATAAATAAAACATATATACTTATTATAATTTTTTTTTCACTGTTAATGTTTTGTAACTTTGTAAAAACTAAATAATAAAAAGAAATAAATATTGTAATATTAAATAATGATTTTATTTTAATTTAATTTATCCTAAAATAAGCTATGATGTCTACATGTTGATAAAAAGTAATTTTCATTTATCACCAAAAATGAAAAAAATTGAATACTAATATGTTTTATTTTATCATTTATATAATTATTATAAAAAAAAAATATTTGTCTAATGTATGTTATTTTCTTTTTAAAAAATATATTTACTATAAGTTAATTGAATACAATAAACCATTATGACATATCAATATTAAGTTATTTTTAGTTAATTTAAAGCAATACATTTTTGTAGCACATGCCAAAAAAATGAAAAAAAAACGACTTAGAATTATAAAACATTTTATATATATAGAAAGTATAATATTTACAAAGGAATTAATGTTTAAAAAACTTATAGTCAGTAGGGTGCTTAAATTTCATGTTCAAGTCCATCTCCTTCTGTAATTAATGCTCTTTCTAGTATTACTCTACCTTCTTTATAACGTTGATTTTCTTCCATAGCAAACTCGTAAATCCATCCAAGTTTTGTGTCACAATTTTTACATGATACATCTCTTACTATATGACGACCAGTTAACATGACCCTATCTTGAACATCACTAAGATAACATATAATTATAAAAATTACAAGACAATTTAAATATAAACATTTAACTAATTTTTTTACATTTTGAGGGAGAAATGAGAAATTTTTTTATGTATTTACCCTCTACAAAACCCTAATTACGCCCTGTAGTTTTCAATATGCTTGTAGGTACTCCGAGTAAATTTATGTTTTAAATAAACAAATATTATAATATTAAACTAAATTTTAGACATTCTATTCATACCATAAAAACAAAATTTCTTTTATAGATAAAAGAAAAAACACATCATAGTAAAATTAATACCTTCTCAGCTTCGCATCGAAGCTAAAATACCTGTAGTTAAGATTGACAACTTTGTTGAACAAAAAAGCACGCCCAGTTGCACCTGTAAACCTTGTACTGATCAATTCATCACGATTAGTCAGATTGATGTCACAAGCAGCACATGCATACAGCCTATCACCACCAACATGATCAAGAAATATACGACCCATTTTAATTTTAGTATAATTTAAGAATATTAAACGAAATTATTTATTAAAAACCAAAAAAAAATTGAATTAGTTTTTGTTTTTTTTTTCATGAAATTATGCTTTCGATTTTTTAGAATGATGGTCTTGTTATTATTTCAGCTAAAATTTGCAGAATTATTCATAATTTAAAATTTGAATATATATTCCAAGTATTATCAAAATAATATATAGACATTTTAATAGTAATTACTATGATTACGACTTTTTATTATTTTTATTATCAGTTAATATCACTAACTCATATCACAGCTATTTAAGTTATACCTTGGTTATTTGATATATTTTCCATAATCATTATGTAATAATGGTGTTTTCTGTCATCACTCAGTAGCAGCTGATAATCTTTAGTTCAAATATGTAACCACAAACGAGTTTATAGTAAACACAACTAGGGTTTTTAATATTTTTATCAAATAACTGTATACAAACAATATCTACTCTAAGGCCTTACCACTCGCACACGTTAAATCGTTAGTTCCATTACATATGAAAAGACCGCGTTGTTCGGCCGCTGCACGGTTTAGCAGCTTTCAATAATTGTTGCTACCACCCAAAAAACATCGATTTATACTTTTATTAAGATAACGGTAAATATCCTCATTTCGTCTTATTTATTAACTAATTTATTTGTTAAAGAACTACCTTGGTATTTTGAGTATTCTATTTTTTAAAAAGAGTTATATACTGGAATACGACGGTTTACTTCAATTTCTGACCTAAAATGGCATCACCACTACATAATGGAAAAATCCATAGATTGGAATTGATTAAAATCGTTCAACTCGATTTAAACCAAGAAAATGACACAAATAATGCTATTGAATATTCGCCAGCACACATCACAACAATAATCACTTGTAGTACTGCTGAGAGTGGTGTAGTTTCTCAAGGAATACAATTTAAATTGCTAGGTTTGTAATATTTTATATTACATAATTACTGTATTCTTGAACTTATTTTTATGTTAATCACTTATAGTTTCAGAGTTATTAAATTTATAAATACATTTTTTATAGATAGTCACAGTAAAATAATTGCTGAGTTTACACCAGATTATTCAGTAGATTATTGTAAAATAGCCAGAGATAAATATGCAGTACAAATAAGTGATCACACTTATACTTTACAATTTAAAACTCATAATGGTAATTTTTTTTTAATTTATAAAATTTACTAACATTTTTATAACCTCATATTTGTTTTATTAGATTTATTTGAATTTACTGCATCACTAGCTCGTGCTAAAAAAGGTAATCATATATCTGTGTTCTCAAACCGTACAGATGAAGCTTCAGCTACTCAATATTTTCAAGTAATCTATTAAAATTTTTTTAAATTTTAATTTATTTTAATATGTAATGCATTAGTTTTATGGATACTTGTCCCAACAACAAAATATGTTACAAGATTATATACGAACAAGCACATATCAAAAAGCTGTACTTGTCAACACTATAGATTTTGCTGATAAAGTAGTTTTAGATGTTGGTGCTGGATCTGGAATTTTATCATTTTTTTCTATACAAGCTGGTGCTAAAAAAGTGTATGCTGTTGAAGCTAGTTCAATGGCACAACATGCTCAGGTATGTATTCTTTGAGAAAATATTTAAATTAATTGACATATATTGTATATTTTATTCAATTAGTCTTTAGTAAATGCCAACAATTTAGATGATAAAATAGTTGTTATTCCTGGTAAAATTGAAGAAATTGAATTACCTGAAGAAGTAGATGTTATTATATCAGAACCAATGGGCTATATGTTATACAATGAACGGATGCTTGAAACTTATCTACATGCAAAAAAATGGCTTAAACCAGGAGGTTAGTGTTAAATTAGTACACTTGTATTTTCTAGCAACTTTTGTCTACATTTATTTTGTTATATAATTTAAAGCATACTAATTTTAACTAATCCTTTATAATTTTGGTAACAATATGACTTTTAGAAAACAAATTTTAGTATAAACACCAAGGCTGGCCAAGTTACTAAGTTTTAATAGTTAACTCAGTTAAGTTACCTGATACTTCAAAAATAATAATAACTTTTTAACTTAAGTTAGCTAGTAGATATTTATGATGTCTATTTAAAAGATAATTTTTTTTTTTTGAAAAAAAATATAAAATTTCAATAATCTACCATAAAAACTACAAGGAAATCTATTTCTAAAATTTTATATAGTATTACTCAGTAACACTCATATACTATATAATTCTGTTATTGCTATTAAAAAAATAGATAGTTATCTTAAGTCCAAAAGCTCCAAGAGAAACAAAACATATATTTTTTAATCTATTTTCAATAAAAAATAATAATTCTATTTCAGTATGTTACTAAATAGTTTTATCAATTACATTTATTGAACACTAACTTAAATTATTTAAAAAAAAAACCAAAATTACTAAATGAAGGATGTAGTTAATTTTACTAAATAAGTTAGTAATCAAAACAAAGTTAATTTAACTTAATTTGTAACATTTTAATGTGTTAGTATCTGGTCTTGATAAGACTACACTTTTTACTGTGCGCATGCATGTTATTTAATTTATTATTAGTAAAATTCTTGTTACTTTTGTTTATATAGGTAAAATGTATCCAAGTAAAGGTGATTTACACATAGCACCATTTACAGATGATGCATTATTTATGGAACAAACGAATAAAGCAAGTTTCTGGTATGATCTTAGGCTTTAATATAATATACAGGTGTCTCAGTTCTAAGTGACATCATTTGTAACTTTTAATTCAATTATCCATAAGTTAAAAATTTTCTTAGAAGTATTTAAAGCATATTTCTTTAATTATTTATAACTAATAAGAAAAAAAAGTTTTAATTTAAATTTTTTTGAAACTTTTAAACTATTTTCTTGTCAAAAATGTTGATGGGGCGATTATAATTTTAGGATAAGTACATATCAAGGTTTAATCATTTAGAAAAGTGATGTTCCTTTTCTTGAATACTAGCAGGTTCTGGGTCCCTACTAGTATTGCCATTATATATTAGTATTTTACCATGTTCTACGGTGTCACTATATATATATATATTAGTGATGATTACAATTGATGTATAGATCAACTGAAAAATTGAAAGTTAAATTTGACCCTAAAAATTAGGGGTTGTAACATCACTAACATTTATATATACAAATAAATGTAGTAGGCTTTGTAATGAATCTTAAAATATAGTTTTTTTACCATTCTAATCAAAATTCATTACTATGATAACTGAAATTAGTTTGTTTTCTAAACAAATATTTTATTTTTCTCTGTGCACTTACTACTGTGATCAAATTAAAAGGTGAATTTTCAAAATTTTCATTTATTCTTTCAAATCTATTTCATTCCCTTCTGCTGCAATACACTTATGCCAATAAGTCATCAAAGTACTTGGTAAAATCCTCCTTTTAGAAAAGCCTTCATAGCCATCTGCGATTTGGCTTTTATTTCCTTAATTAAGTTATGACTGTGAGCAGTCTCTAGAGTTTGCTAAATCAGGTGGATAAGCAGATTGTGGAACAGTATTTATTGAATTTTTGGCGAAATTCTAGCAAATACCAATACCTTGTGAGATAATAGCACACTATCTTAATGAAAAAATCAAAAATTGTTTATTAACTCTGGCCTATTTTTATGAACAGCTTCATGCAAACAAAGCATAACACTTAAATAATATTCCTTTTGGCACAATAATTGCTTGTTTAATCAGTTATTTTTTGGGAGTGTAAGCAAAGATCCAAGTCTTATCTCCAGTTATGATTGCGTTATATCCCGATAGCTAGAAAGCATTGTTTCACCGATGCTAACATTACAATCTTTTTCAAAAAATTTAGTGTTTTTGCAACCATTTAAGAATTGACTCTTCTTAAGCCCAATTCATCATTTAAAACTGCCTGCATTAATCCAAATTATATGCCAAACTATCAGTGATGTCTAACAGTCTATCAATGATTTTCAAATACCATTTATTTCATTTCATATTCATCAGTTGATGTTTTTGAACAATTTATAACCCATTTTTCGCAACACTCTCTTGGCAGGCCTTGAACTTATTGTACCACTTGTAAACATTCTGTAAAGACTGATCTCCAAAGGCTATCTGTAGCATCGTCAATGTTTCTACAGCCAAAATTTCATTTTTCAAACAAAATTTAATGCAACTTTGTTCAATATATTCAAATATAGTAAAAATCACAGAATTCATTTTTAGTACCTCACAAAACGAAGTATTTCTCAAACATTAGCGTATATTGACATGAAATTTATCACAAATATTACTAATAGTTCTGCCAACTTACAGAAAAAAATGTTTACCAATTTTAAAACCTTGGAAATATAAATTAAAAATTCACTTTTCAATTTAATGACAGTAGTATTTATTATTTTCAAAATTTAATTATTTTAAAATAATGGTAAAATTATATATTTTGAGGGTGCAATTTTATTAAATTAATGAATAAAAAATTGTGAATTGTTACAAAAATTAATTAATTTTTTCTATTTTATTTAGGGTTCAAACATGTTTTCATGGTGTAGACCTGAGTTCACTCCGTGATGTGGCAATGCGAGAATATTTTCGTCAACCCATAGTTGATACTTTTGATATAAGAATTTGCTTAGCAAAATCAGTTAAACATAGTTTAGACTTTCTAACTGCTGATGAACAACAATTACACAAAATAGATATACCTCTTGAGTTTTACATACTTGAATCAGGAACTGTTCATGGGCTTGCTTTTTGGTTTGATGTTGCATTTCAGGGTTCAAACCAAACTCTTTGGTTATCAACTTCTCCTACTGAGTCATTAACCCATTGGTATCAAGTAAGGTGTCTTTTGGAAAAACCTGTACTTGTCAAAGTTGGACAAGTATTGACTGGAAGTGTTTCTCTTCAAGCTAATGTTAGGTTAGTATTTTATTTTTAATTTCTTTAAGCTGTTATATTTATTTGAACTAAATTATAAATGTAATTTCTATAGACAAAGTTATGATGTTTTGATGACTTTAATGATTGATGGTTTGCCACATACAAGTTCTTCAAATAATTTAGATCTTAAAAATCCATACTTTAGATATACTGGTCAACCCCCTCAACCACCACCTGGTGTTAACACAATTTCTCCAAGTGAGAGTTATTGGGCTAATATTGAACTTCAAAGTACAACATCTGGTATGAATATTAAAAAAATAAAATGTATGGCAATAAATAAATTAGATAATATTTAAAAAATTAAATAATTTAGCTCTAGTCAATGGTATTCCATTGAATGGGTATGCCACTGATATTGCTATGGATATATCACCAGCACCAGCAGTTGTGGGCAATAATGGAAATCTTATTAGCTTAGGTAACACAATTTCAAATTTTTTATAAATAAAATTTATAAAGAATAATTAATTATTCATATAATTACTTTTACTGCAACAGTATGTATCTTCAAAATTCATAAAATGAGACATCAATAATGATGGGTGTTGTGAGGTCGAAATCACTAAATAGAAGTCCTATAAAACATATGTATTCATGAAAATGAAAAATTGGTATTTTATTAGTCTTGATTTATGTACGTCTAAGAAGTTTAAAAATATGTTTTTAATTGTAAACAAATTCTTAGAAGATTAATTAAATTATGTTATTAAAATTATTAAAACATGTAAAAAAATATATATATTTGACTAATAATGCCTATATAAATGAATTTATATTCAAAAAATTTTAAAATTAATTCCACTGAAAAAATTAGCTCTGCATATTAAAAATTAGCTTCTTTATTTTTAGAAAAAATTTACTATCCCTTATATTTTATTCTAATTTTACCATGATAGTTTTATATTTAATGAAAAATAAATTATTAAGAAGAAAGTCATATTTTCTTATTATCCACGTTTTTTTTTTTTATGAAAATATAATTAAATAATGTTATGTAGTTTTTATATTGCAGGATGATTCATCTATACCAATCCACTCACTTATTTACAAATTCAAAGGGTGTCAACTTTATTTTTTTCTTTTAAACAACATTAAATAGCTTATAAAATAGAAAACTATCAAATTGAAAAAAATTCCTGATCCAACTTGTAAAATAGTATTTTGAAAGTCATTTAAAAAATATATTGATGTGAGGTAGGAAGTATAACTATTTCAAGTTATTAACATTATATCTAGACGAATAAAGGCTGAGAAATGTCAATATATACATTTGAAAGTTATTTATAGTTATTTAAAATTAAAATTAGAGATAATTAACTGTAGAAAATAGTAAGTTGAAAGTTTTTATACAAAAATTTCTAACTTTTCAGAAATTTCTCAAAAATTTTCCATGTATTTAGTTTTGGGAAATTTTACTATACTAATAATAATATAATTAAACATTAAATAAACATTTTATGCTATAAAAATAAAATTTCCATTTTATTAAAACGTGTATAATTAAAATTTGTTTTTTGATCATCCTGAAAGCCTGCAAAACTGGGGCATGTACTGTTGCAGTATTAGCAAAAATATATATAGCACTAGACTTTAAAATAAAATTATCCCAATACTAAATTTTTTTTTTTAGTTACAGTACCTCAACCTAATATACATCCTGGATCAATAAGTAGTACTGGACGGCAACGTGTTAGCACAGCTACCTCTACTGCAGGAGCACAACTAATAGGAGGAGGAATATCACCTACTTTGTACCAAGTATATTAACTTTGAGAACTATATACTATTTCTCCCTTATAACTAATTAATTTACAAATATTTTTCAGACTCAAAATCAACAGTTATTATTAGGAGCAGCTACAGTTCCTGCAGCAGCTGGAGGTTCTCTAACTGCATCAATGGGTAATTTCCCTGTGAATAATACTCTAATGATTGGAGATTATGTAACACCAAATGCTGCTGCAACAAATGTGTTAAATATATCATATCGATGATGTTTTAGCCTATTTGATTATTCAAACATGTATATTATAATTAAATACATAAGATTCCAACTAGCAATTTTCTTATCAAGAATGTTCCCTTTTGTAATTTAATTAGAATTTTATAATAAGTTATATGACGTCATAAAAAACTAGTTTTTTTATATTTTATATTGTATTAAATTCTATAGATTACAATGTATATCAGGTTTTATAACTACAAGAACTATGTATTTTGAAAAACATTCTATATTATATCAGAAACAATTATGTAAACAGAGAATTGTTCTAAAAAGTTAAAAACATCCTCTTAGTATTGCATTTTGACAGTACTAAGTTGGTTTTTATTAGTTAAATTATTATTCACATAATAATTTTAGTTTTATGGTTTGGTAGAACTAATTAAATATTAGTTAAATTAGTAAGTTAAATGTCAGTATACTAATGTTTAAAAATTAAACATTGTCAAAAAAAAAGTAGCCTGTTTTTAGTTCAGACTTGTAAATTAATTTTATTAAATAAATAAATGAAATTTATTATTTACCATCATATACAATAAAATTATGTAAGAATCATTTAAAGTTGTAGGATAGTATTGTAAAGTGTATATTACTTTTTTAATTATTGTACTTTTTTAAAAATATGATTAAAAAATTTTAAAATTGATTTTAGTTTTTAATATTTTTGTTAAACTTTTTATAAAAAAAAAAAATGTTAAATACGGTTTAATTTATAAATTTTGTACACAAAGAACATTACTACTCAATTTAAGAACTTAATGCAACAACAATAAATTCACTTTAAGCATTTTTTAAGAAAAGCAACATACTGAAAATATTTTATAGTTGAAAAATTTCTTTAAAATTAAAATATCTATATATAATTTTTTTTTGTAAAAATATATATTAATTTTAAGTAGTTCAAAACAATAGCATATTAAGAAATTTTGTTTGGAAATCTAGACAGCTTTAAGAATATATAGTTGTAATAGCACCACCTTTCTACTACTTCTCTACTATAACTTAATATTCATGAAAACCCATTAACCCCACCCATAAATATGCCACCAGATTCAAATAATTTGGTTAGCTATGACAACAAGTCGCATTATCCATTTCATTTTTTAAATACTAAATTAAAAGTCTTATAACAATTATGCAATTAATAAATATAATTTAAAATAATGTTGTCTTGGATTAAAGGGGAACCTGGACCCACGAAAAATAGGGAACTACAAAGGAAAAACGTTCGACGACCCCAAGTAATTGGGATTAAGGCGAGGAAAAAGAAAAACCTAGTCTTGTATTTTGCTAATTGATAAAATAACTTTCAAAGATTTAAAGTTATATTACTATTAATTTATTTATTATCTACAATTTCAGTTATGATCAAACAGCTTTTCTTGATGCCCATTCAAAAATCTAGTCTCGATTATACCTATTAGTATAATTAAGGCCTGAACTAAGTAAATAGAGTATAGATGGTTTCTTATCTATTTTTTAATTAAAGAGAATTTCTGTATGAACTTAGTTTTTCTCTTAAAAACAACGTAAGAATTTTTAATATAAAATTAATTTAATTTAAAAAAATTATTTTCATCCCGATAACTGATAAATTTGATATGTAATCATAAGAAATTATGATTACTTAATATCCTTTTCTTAAACATGCCACGTCTATGTTTCGCATATATATCTCCAGCAAACGCCACAAATTTTCGACTTGCGCTTCTGTTTAAATTATTATAGTATCTTGAAATTGATTGACTTTGAAGCCATTGTGATTTTAGACTAAGAGTGAATGTTTCTTATATAATTTTTCCTGTGTACAATTTTATTACTAAGTTAAAATATCCTATTATAACCATAAGAGGTTTTTTTAACAAATTTCAATTTTAGCACTACAATTTATAAATGTATTCGTTTGAATTTTTAACAATTGTAAATAAAAATCCAAAATGCTTTATTATTTTTAAAAGATTCAAAAATAAACGAAATTTTGAAATTATGAAAAAAATGTTTAATGCGATTTTCTATAATAGTTAAATGTTTTACAATTTAGCGTATAATTTTAAAACATTTCAAATAGCAAAATCTTCACCAAAAAGTTAATTAACAGAAAAAAATAAATAAAAACGTTTAATTTTCCAGTTATTATAAATATATTAAATGATTAATAATAATACTCATTATAATACAGTCATGCACAATGTTTTGATAAATTTAATAACTTTTGATTCAGTCAATATTTTGTGTTACCTATATTTTAAATAAAATTTACAGTTTTGAAATATGTTAAAAGCATGTTTTTATATTATTTGTCTGTAATAAAAAAATAAACTTTTTTTATTTTTAAATTTTTTGAAATATAAAATTAATTATTTGTTTACAAATAATTTTGATAGACCGATTACAACTTATAGATAGTATTTATGAGTTATATGTATTTTAATATATTATTTTAATTATAAACAAACAATAAAACATGGCTAAATCCAAAATTGTAAAAATTATACAAATAATTTTCACAATTTTAAGGATTGTTAAGCTTCCTAGATTACATTTTGACGGTTCTTAAGCGGATTAAAACGACCAACACGATTATCCGAGAAAAAATAATTATAATAAATAATTTGATAAATTTAGCGGTAGGTAAGAATACATGTTAAGAATATCTGGTTTTTTTAGTTTCCTGAAAAATTTAAAAAAAAATTGAATTTTCTCGTTTTTGCAGAGCTCTTTAATTGTAACTACTAAATTATTTTTTTTAGGGAAAAGATAATTTTCAATAAAAAATTGTTTTCATAAGTTATCTTTGACCCAAATATATCCCTGATCACGTAGTGTATACTTAATTCCTTAAGGTATAAACTTACAGGCTATTTTAATTTATACTATAGACTAATATGTTAGATAAAGTAAGACGTGTAATAATAAATTTATACACACAATACTTTTGTGAAAAATGATAAGAAATACCCCAGTTTAATATAATCAAATTAATTATCTAAAAAGTTAAATTGTTGTTGAGTTTATTGACGGATTTTAAAAATTATGTAATCCGTTCTTTTAAAATCCGACCAATGACATGAAATACCAACTTTGATGAAGCCTGTTAAACTCATTGAAGTGTTATAGTTTATCTATAATTGAAATTTTATACTTCAATTCATGTCATAGTAAGAACGTTGCTGTAATTGTGTAGACGTCATATGTAACGCTGGATTTAAACTTTCATTGGATTATTATGTAAGTATTTACCAAGAATTTATAATAGATACATTTATTGGTGAAAAAAAAATTAACTCGTTCATATTAACAACTATTTAACGATATATTTTTACAGGCAGTCATTTGTATTGTTAGATGTATATTATAATAGTTGATATATTTTTATGAAGCTATAGTAAACAATTTTTGAGATTTTATATTTATAAAACATGTGTTATTGAAAGGAGGTTTTTATGATTAGAAAATCTTATTTCGAATTTAATATCCATCTTAAAAAAAAGCCAACAATTTTCATTATAAATTGTATATAAAAGAGTCACTTAACGTAAATTCATAAAAGTGCACCCCCTCTTTGATGATTTCTAATAATTCTTCTATGTTGTGGATTTTTAGCTTCGATGCGAATCTGAGAAGGTATTAATTTTACCATGATGGGTGTATTTTATTATTTTTTTTTTAGTTATCTTTTAATATTCATGTACGAATTGAACATTTTTGATGATTACCTATATTATTTAAGTTATAAAATACTTTGAATGACCAGAAGTCATTTTATATTGTAATATTACATCATTGTGTAAAACAGTTTGTACATTTGACATAAGTTAATAGACTATAACTACATAATAGTTACAACCAGCGTTTAAGAATTGTGCAAATACTACATTACTCAATTTTTCAACATTTTTTACTTGACTAAAAAAATTTTATCGTTATAGTAGAAAATAATAATTTCTCATAAACTAATAAATCATAGCTGCTTGAATGTAAATGTTAAAAAACTCAAATTCAAATTAAAAGATTTGGTAGGTAGGATTGTATGTTTTGTGTTAGTTTTTTTGTTAGTGAGACCGAATCTCAAAAAAATTGAAAACGAGCTGTCCATTTTATTGATATTATGCCTTTACAAGATAATAGAGCAGGTAACGCTAGACAAAGAATAGTACACAGATATCAAGTGTAAAATAAGGTATTGGTATTTATAAATATTTTCGTTACGTATAAAACAAACATTCCCGAACAAATAGAAAAGTTCCTTCATAATCAAAAAAAAGTCATTAATTTTAAGAAAGGTAAATATTTGTTAACATTTATCTTTTTATTATAATTACGTGTACTTAAAAAAATTCTTCGTTAGAACTCTTCAAATAGTCTATTCAAGGCTATTCGATTTAACTATTTGAATATTTTTTTAAATTATTTGGTGTTTATATTACGATAGTTATAAAGACTATTCCATAGTTTTTTTACATATCTGATAGTTTATGCTAAAAATAAACTATCTGATTTCATATAAAGACTCCTGCAGAAATTATGCATAGGAAGGAGGGAATATTTTTTAAATATTTGGTTTGACTATCCACTCAATAAACTCAGTGTTAGGAAGGGGATGACTGGATTCCTAAGTTAGGGATCCGTGCTTTTTTTAAGCCTCACTATAGGCGCAACAAGAAATAATGTTAAATAATTATTAAGTGACTGTTAATGTTTTCGAAAAGAATAATAAAAAAAAAGCAATATGTTATCGCAATGCACAAGTGTTTACTATTTATATTTTTCATTCGTTAATTTACTGATAAAGATGATAATTTAGTCGTAATTTTATGTTGATACAGTTTTCATCAGTCTAATATCACAAATATTCATTTTGTCAAAAACAGATACACTAAAATTGTAATTTTGTATCATTTTTCTGTAATCAGATTACAATACTAACAAAAGCCAAAGTCTATTGAGAATATTGCATTTGGCTATTTATAATTTTAACTGTTGGTTTCTACTTTTAATGTTCTCGTTTGATGTTTCACTCGTTATCAACATTTTAACTACGTATTGTCCATTGTGAACAATTATTATGTATAAAATATTCCTTGCTTATAAGAATTATTTGTAGTTACGATTTATCGGTCGTATTGTACGGACGTGTTTATCTCGCGTACGTTTGTATTTACCCGCCTATTTTTAGAATACTATTCCGTTATTCATAATTTTTTTTTAGTTTTGAATCCATAGTTCCGCCTTTTTGGCACATTTACTGTGTCCGCCGGGGCTCTGGATGCAATCCAGACCTAATCCGGGAGGAGGTGATCAGCACCACCCCCCATTGCGCCGTAGAAGCACTCTGCAATCTTCCAACCCACAAATCTCCATGGAAAATTCGCGTTATTCTGGTAAGAACAATCAAGGCTCTACATCGCCAATTAGCCCCTTACACAAAAAACCTAAATCTGACGGTAAATCAAAATCCGATGATCCCCAATCTCAAACTTTCAGCATGGATTGTAGCTCACCTGAAGTCATCGTTGTGACGTCACCCGGTTCGCCAACTTCAAACATAAACTCCCTCTATGTCGATTCTCCTAATATTTCAACAGTCAGGCAACCCAATGTTCCTGAATGCTTTTCAATACACTACACTGGTCCCCTTAATGTACTTGTTTCTGCATCTGGTGATAATAACTTAGGTAATTTTCACCCAGTTATGCTCGGTAAAACTTTTTCCAAATTTTTTCCTGGTATTCTGAGCATAAAACCTATCGGTTCTAAGCGTGTTAAAATTACGTTTGAGTCGGTTAATAACGCCAACAATTGTCTCACTTCCCCTTCTCTTTCTGAACACGGCTACTCTGCGAATATTCCTAGTACTTTACTATATAGTATTGGAATAATACGTCTTGATAAAAGTATCTGAAGAAGACTTTTGGGAAGGTTATGAATGTTCAGTCAAAGTTGTTTCATTCAGACGCATTAATATAATAAAGGATAACATCCTCGTTTTTTCAAATTTAGTTGAACTTAAATTTTTGTCAGCAACTCTTCTTCAAAAATTATCAATATACAAAGTTATTTTTGATGTCTCTCCGATTATTCGTTCTCCTGTCCAATGTCGCAAGTGTTTACGTTTTGGTCACACCCTTAAATACTGTCACAGTAAGGAGCGCTGCAGTCACTGCGGTCTCTTTGACCACACCGAATCTAATTATAACGTCAAGTTAACCACACCTCCTTCGTGCATTTTTTGTAAACTGAACCATCTTGCGACGGATAGATCTTACAGCGAATGGTCTGTGCAAAAGGACATTAAAAAGATAATAGCCACAAACAACGTCTCATTTTCTGAAGCCTCCTCGATCAAACGTTTCAGTTTAGTTAATAAAGCTTTTACCTTTTCTGATGTTGCTAAAAATACAAATATATCTAGTGTCGAAGTCGTAGCTTCTCCTTCCTTTCCTTCCCTTAGTCATTCTACTAATACATATACAAATAAATAAAAGAAGAAAAAAAGTAATAAAACTCAAGTCCCCTCCCCCCACTTTCTTCCTTTATCAAATGACTGTTCTAGGGCACTTTCGCCTAATGGCAGTTTTTTAAAATGCATGTCCCAAAATCGTAGTACTAATGTTGATGACTGCAACTGGATTTCCTGCTTATCGGAACATATTGTTCAGCTACTCGCGAGCGATCCTAACTTAATTTCTTCTCCTTCTCCTTCAATACTTCAATCAACTATAGAATCTTCATTAACTAACATCCACTATCCTTTATCTGACAATGATGACACATTTTAATAGTAATCCTAACTTTCCTTCTTTCAATATTCTTCAATGGAACGTAAGAAGTTTATCTCCTAGAATGCACGATCTCTCTTTTCTTCTCTCTAATAATAAATGTTCTTTTGCTCTCCTTTCTGAAACTTGGCTCCTTTCAAATAAACGTGTTTATCTTCCACAGTTCAACATTAATCGCTCTGATCGTATCGACGGTTTTGGCGGCGTAGCCATCGCCTCTCATCATTCTATCCACATTAACCCTATTTCTATTGATCCTGTATTAAAAATCTCGCTTCTTAATCATTCTATAGATCTTGTCGGTATCCAGGCGTTTACTAATTTACCCAATCCCATTGCCATTTGGTCTATTTACATTCCCCCCTCTTCCAACCCTCCTTCTATACTAATTGATAACATTTTTTCTTTAGTTTCTTGTAATTCTATTATAGGCGGTGACTTTAATGGTCACCATCCCTCCTAGGGTGCACTAATCTCCAATCATCGTGGTAACATTATTTCGTCTGCTATTTCTGCCTATAATCTTATAATCTTATAATGCCTATAATCTTTGTATTCTCAATACAGGACTCCCCACCCTCCTTACAAATGGATTCCGTGGTTGACCTAACCATTTCACCTCCCTCTCTCTCGTTGTTGTTGTCATGGTCTGTCCTAGACTGCACTCATGGTAGTGATCATTTTCCCATCATTATTTCTTACACAAATTCTCCCACTCCCTCTCCCTCTTCCTCTCATACCGTTGTTAACAAATTTAATTATTCGAAAGCTGACTGGCCAACTTTTCAAAACTACATGACCATTTTCACCTCTAATTTTTCCTCCTCCTCTCTCATTGAGGACTACAACTGGTTCGTGTCTACAATTATTAGAGCAGTTAATTTATCTGTTTCTTTAATTAAAAAAACCAAAAAGTCCTTTCCCTCCTCTCCAATATGGTGGTCTTCCTCTTGCACCTACGCTATCAATGAGCGCACTAAAGCTTTTAAAAAATATAGATTCTCGAGTCTGCTAAGTGACTTTTTCGAGTACCAAAGGGTACGCGCCTCTGTTCAAAAAACACTTAAACAAGCAAAAATTATGTCCTGGCACTCTTTCTGTTCCTCACTTAATCCTTCTTCTAGTCTGTCCAATACCTGGACTATTGCCAAAAAATTTAAAAACTGTCTATATAAAAATTCTCCCTCTTTAAACGAGTCATGGTTTGATCCCTTCTGCAATAAGGTTGCTCCCCCTACGTCCCATCATTAGAAGAATCCTCTCCTACCCTTGATCCTAACCCTTTCCTTAATTTTCTCCCTTTTCATCCTCTTACTGATTCGTTTACACTCAGTAAGATTTCCTATGCAATCTATTCGCGTAAATCGTCCAGCTTGGGTTTAGATGGAATTTCCCCTTTGGTTCTAAAACATCTCCCTTCTCATTGCCTTGAACTTCTCTTAGTCATTCTTAATTCTTTATGGTCCCAAGGTGTTGTTCCTGATTCTTGGCGTAATTTTAACGTCATTCCCGTCCCTAAATCTAACTCAGCTTCCGTTGCATTTCGCCCAATAGCTCTTTCCTCTTCTCTTTGCAAAGTAGTCGAACACATTATCAAGAAACGCCTTGATTGNCTTCTCTTTGCAAAGTAGTCGAACACATTATCAAGAACCGCATTGATTGGTTCTTTGAAAAAAATAACTGTCTTCCCCCTAATTTATACGGGTTTCGGAGAGGGCTGGGCACCATGGAGTGTTTATCCACTCTCACGGCCAGTATATACAAAACATTTTGTGATAAATCCTATTGTCCCGCTGTCTTTGTTGACATCAAAGGTGCTTTTGATTCTGTACACATTCCTACCTTTATTTCCCTTTTACATTCTTATTCTATACCCCCTACACTTTGTAATTTTATTTCACGGGTCTATTCACAACGTTTTCTTACTTTCACTTCTCCTTCCGGTTTAATATTAAACCGCACTTCCTATCGCGGCCTCCCACAGGGTAGCTGCCTTAGTCCTCTTCTTTTTAATATTTACATGAGCAAAATTAGCCTCTCCCTCACCTCTAGTGGTACTTTCTCACTTTTCTATGCTGATGACATCGTTCTTTTTTCTTCTCATATATCCAATCATAATGCCCTCAACTCCCTTAATAATTCACTTGCCGTCCTCTCTAACTCTCTTCAAATTCATTATTTTGAGGCTGCTCCATTGAAAAGCCAGTTAATAATTTTCACTAGAAAACGCTTACCGTCAGTTTACCCTATAATTACTCTTGATGGGATAATCATCCCCCCTCTGAATGCGTCACTTATTTAGGCCTTAAACTGAACTTGAATATTTTTATTAATAAATAAATATTTTATTTACAGGTTATGATTGAGGTTACAATAACAGTGCGGTTTTTTGCCCAAGCTCGAGAATTAGCTAATTTAAGCTTTGTTATTTTAAAAGTTCCACAAAATTTATACCTTTGTGAACTACGTTCTATAATAGTTAGTAAGTTTAATTTATCATCAATCGAAGATATTTTTATATTGGCCATCAATGAAGTTTATGTAACTAGTAATTCAGAAATTATTCTAAGAAATAATGACGTTGTAGCAATTATCCCACCGATTAGTGGAGGTACTAAATTTACTATTCACTAATTTTAAAAAATAACTTAGTTTGAAAAATTTAAGTTATTAAGTAAATTTATTTTTAGGCTGAAAAATGAATAATCTAAAAATTACAGAAGATATCTTGGATATAACTGCAATTATTAACTCGGTTAGTTCAAAGGAATGTGGTGCCATTTCGATTTTTATTGGAACAACTAGAGACAATTGTCTTGGTAAAAAAGTAAAAAAGTTATATTATGAAGCATACGAATCAATGGCATTGAATCAAATGAAATCTATAATAGGTACTACAAAAGAAAAATGGCCAGAGATTGCTAATATAGCTATTCATCACAGGTGAGTTAGAACATTGCTCTATACTGGATGTTAATACATTCTTTTTAACTTGTGCATTATGTTTTAAAGGTGTGGTGAAGTTAAAGTTGGTGAAGTGGGACTGGTAATAGCTGTTTCGTCTCCACACAGTAAAGAATCACATGATGTTGTGGCTTTTATCTTAAATAAAATCAAAACTATAGTACCTATATTCAAAAAAGAATTTTATGAAGAAGGAGGTAATCAATGGAAATCGAATGATAATTGCTCTTGGTAAACTTCATAATGAAATTGGATATAATTAAATTATAATCATTCATATCATTTATCTTATTGTAATGGCATAGTAAAAAATAAATCAAAATAGATTAACAACAAAATTTCATTTATTTATTTTTATTAACTATACAAAATATATATATCCGACAATAAATATCTAGTAAATAATAATTAAAAAACATTTAACAAATTAAATGAAGTCTGAACTACAATGCAAACCAAGAACAATGGATATCACTAGAGTATGGCACTAAAATATAAAAATAATATAACAGATCATATGTTGGTTAAAAAATATTTGGTGTCTTTTAAATTTAATATACTTAAAAATACTATATAGTCATAAAAAAATATGTTTCACGCAATACTTAAATATTCATTGAATTAAAAATAAAACCAATATAAAATATGCGTGATAAAATATTACAGTCTTGAAACCATTTTAATTAATTTTGATTAAAATCAACAAAACATTACAAAAAGCATTAAAAATAATGTACATTAATAATTTTATATAATTTGTCGTTTTTGTTTATGTATACACAGTAAATTAATTGGTTATATGATATGTCACATTTAATCACATCTCCATTTTTGCATAGCTTCAACTCTAGCATCAGGTACTAATTGACAGCGAACTCCTTGCAGAACATTACATGTTGCTTGACTAGCTAATATAATAGGTGTCAAAGCAGTGGGAGGTATTTGACGCATAACACCACCAACCATCCCAGCAGTGCCTTTAATTTCATGTTCTTCTGTGGCAACTCTAACTAGAGTTTGAGCAGTTTCTCCTATTCCCTATAAAAGAATCAATATTATTTAGAAAACTAATGTGATTAACATCATGATTATTCTAATATACTTAATTTATACTTCTTGTTCTTAATTCATTATAAAGTATGTCATATTTGGTATTTCCAAATAAATGGAAAATAAAATAGTATTTAAAGTTTGTTCTCAATAATTAAATAAAAATAATGTTATTTTAGGATAGTTTAATTGTTAGACAAGTATAAAATAATTCTTGTGTTGAAATTAATAAATTAATAAAACAAATATAAGTGAAGTAACAAAATTCAGACTTAAACAATTTGAATAACTGATGTAAATAACAAATATTTTAAAAATCTTACAAAATTCATGATAAATCTTTATTCAAAGCCAGAACTGGAACCAAAAAGTATACTACAAAAATACATTTTAGCCATTATAATATTATTATAGAATTAACTTTAACTAAAATATTGTACTATAGGCTTAATGGTTGTATAAAAAAGGGGTATAGATTTACAGATTTACAGTATTAATTTGACTAGGTAATTAAAATTTTTTAAAGATAAACAAAAGACATTTAAACTTTTAGATATTAACTATTAGATTATTATATCTTAACATTAAATAAGTAAAAAATATACATACAACAGCAATATTCCAATTGTTTATATATGATATTCAGTTAAACTTTGAGTTGATTTATAAAGTACCCAATGATTTATTTATAAAAAAACACTTGATTATCATTGTACGTATAAAAATAGATTTCTAAAAAATATAATTAACCTCTTTTACTAGCATAACTGCACTTGCTACTCCTTCCCGTATATCAGCTGGATGAGCTCGTTTATTTGAACGATATTTCTTTTTGGATTCTTGTAAACGTAATTGCCGCATACTAGGACCTGGGTTTACCATATCGTAGGTAGTTTCAGCTACTCTCTAAATAGTTTATTAATTTAATGAATAAACATTTTTGTAATAATAATAATAATAACTAACTTGAATGAGATTTACGATTCTTGTAGCAATTTCAAGTGCAGCCATTGCTGTTGAAGTAGTAAATGAATTAGCACCTTTTTGTAATCCTCTAACTATTCTTCCATCTTTTTGATACTGTTCAATAGGAAGTTGAACTAAATCTCTAAATCCTTGAATTAATCTAACAAAAGAATACATAGGACCAACACCTCCTAACAATGAAGGTAGCTGGTGTTTTTTAATATCTTGTAGCCATTCTTGCATGATAAATGTCACCAGTTTGTCGAATCCGAGTAAACTGAATAATTAGAATATACTATTTAAAATAAATTGTTAAATATCATATATTAACAAGTGATATGATAATTCCTAATTAGATTAAACCACCCAAATTTACACTCGCACAAAAAAAATTCTAAGATTAAATTAGAAAAATTGTTTATTTAAATTTTATAATCAAATAATTTATCATATCACTAACATTTATCATTATAAAATTTATAATTTACCCATGTTTGTATACAATACGCTTTAATTTTATCTCAGAGCAGTTGAGTTGTGCTAGACCCATAAGCAAACCAGCTAAGGAACCTTTACTAAAATCAATATGTCGTCCTTCATAGTCTAATCTAATAGTTACATCAGGGGAGAAGACAAATTGCCTAATATAAACTGGAGATTTGTTATCAATGGAAGAAACATTGATATCTGAATTATTAACAGGAGGTGTTTCTTTTTGTCCAAAATGTTCTTCAAACTCATCATTTAATTGAATTAATGAGTTTGGCATAATAGTTTTAAAAGTATTATCTGCATTTCCTAGTGACATAATAGGTTCATTTGATTTTGAAAGTGGTATCTTTTCATCTCCAACTTCTAAAATAGATATAGAAATTAATAAGTTTACTTGTAGTTCAAAAGGATTAAAAAATTAAAGTTAAATTATTTATTTACCATTTCTAGATATTTTACTTAAAGTAGTAAACTGATTAACAAATGAGATCAGAAAAATTAGAGAATCTTGGTCAATATTAAGTCTCAATGGTAATAAAGATACTTTTATACAGCATTCTTGGGCTCTCGAATTGGAATCAGGTTGAACATGAGCTGCTTTTACAACCAACTAAAAATAATATGGTATTTAAAATTTTTAAGTAATTTATTATTACAGAGAAAAAAAAAAGACTATTGGAACACACAATTTTTTTTCTTCAATATATTAGATTATTAAATAACTTAATTATTTTATCTAATTAAATAAATTATTTAAGAAAAATATTTTTGTTTTGTTCCACAAAAAAATAAAACAATTACTTCAGAAGCTAAAATTTAATTCAAAAATATTTTACAGGTGTAAATCTTTCAGACCAAAATAATTTTTCAAGAGGTATTTGGTATGTGTGTAAAATAGTAGCCATTTTTCTTTTTTCTTAATAATTATTGAATAAAATTTGTTTATTTTATTTGTAAATTATCATTTGATATTATGATGTAAAGTAAATCGTAAGTATTGTCAAATATAATTAAAAAAAAAGATTAATTTGATTTACAGCCATCATTGCATATAAAGTATTAAAAATTTATAAATATTAGTAAAACTAAATCATTTTACCAATATTGTAATTAACTATGGTAGAGAGTATGATATGTAGAAATACTCCATCAGTAACTCTATTTAAATTACATTTGTTATGTTTTTTTATTATGGTCTGAATATTAACAATTATCTTACATTTTTTCAAACAATTCATATTATGCAACACGTCTAAATAATTGTATGGTTTTTAATAAATATGGAGTATTTATTTTGATTAAAATGTTATATCTAATTCGTATTACATTAAAACTTACGTTCTATTTGTAGACAAGTTATTTTTTCATAATTATGTATTCTTACAGTAAGGTATTAATTATTTCAAATAATTATGAGGAGAAACAGATAACCAATAATAAAACCATACAATTCATTCTTACCATTAAAAAGTACTACTTTTAATTAAAAAATCAATAAAATAGAATAATTTGGTGTTTCCACGTATTTCAACATGAAAAACTCATCAAAATTAAAAATGAACCATACTATGAAATTATCTGTAAAATTCAACACAAAATTATATCTAACATTAATATATGAGGTGGGATCAATTTGGAGACAGATAATTTTTTTGAAAGACCTATTGACCTCTTAATTTGTATAAAAATCTTGAGGAGTATACCTCAAGTATAATAATAATAATATTTGTAATTTATATCTAAGGAGGGATGAAATTTATTATTATTAGTGGATAACCCCTAAGGGGTTATTAAAAAAAAATAAAATAAAAATGGAGTCTTATTTTTATACCTTTCCCAGGTTACTCCTTATATATTATTTTGGTTTGAGAGATTTACACCATGTATAATTTTTAGTTCTATCGAAACGTTTCAAAACCATTATAGTTTTTTAAAACATAATTTTGATTGAAAACAAAGTTATAAAATTTCATTAATAAAATATAATAATAGAAAATAAGTTTTCAATCCTTGACTTTAATATATTGAGATATAATAACACTTTAAAACTGTTATATATATAGAGTGAAAATTATCTTATTGGACGTTAGCATTGAAAATGAAATAAAATTTAATATAATCATTTATATTACTGTTAAGTACAATATTTGTAATTTATGCTGATGTATTACAAAATAGCAGGTTACTATGTAAAATTGTTTTTTTTTGGGAATTTATGAGATGATCAGTGGTATTGTCATTACCGTCCTATAATTGTTTTCTATTTTACTTTTATTGAATTAAATGGTTATAATAATCTTGTTTAGACAGTAATTAAATATTATTTTTAACTCCTTCCTTTCAACAGTTAGTATAATTATAAAAATACTTTTTATTGATATTATTTTAATAGCAAAAAAACTCTTAATCAGCATAATAAATATCATAATAAACTAATAAAATAGCTGACACTGTAAATCTTTGTTTTTATCTTTGTCATTAAGTAAATAATTATACTTTAAATTATTATAAATTACTCGTACCATATTAGCATCGTATTGTTTGGGCATTGCTTCACTTGAATATAAATATAAAAACTTATTAATATTTGATGATGCAAGCTTATCTCGAATTTCAAAATCTTGTATGAGTAAAACTTGTCGTTTTGCTTTTTTTGTATGAGGTGGGTAAGTTTCTTGCTGGAAACGGACCTGGAAAATAATTATATATAGATTTAAATTTTTACTTATTTATGTTCCAAGAAATTTTTATAATACTTTATTTAATTGAAGTTGCATAAGGACATGATGTTGCCGACCAGCACCACCTTTGGCTTGCCAGCTAGTAGGTAAAATACTACAACAAAAACGTGTTCTAGCTTGTGAATTGTTAGTTGAACCTTTATTACTAATTGAATTTTTCTAAAATAATTTTAGTTATTAATTCCCAAAATAAGAAACAAATTTTAAATAAAATAACTACTTGTTGAGAGTTTACATTAGTCTGAGAATAGTAACGTGATAGAGAAGGTCTAAGAGTATTTGGAGAAGTTGGACAAGAATTTCTACAAATAAATTATTTCAAAAATAAATGATAAGAATTTTTAGGAATTTAACTTATATAAACTATACTTACGATTCTGATACTATTACAACATGTTTAGTTAGCTCATTTTGTGAGCTTGAAGTTTTAGGGCCAAAATCAGTTCCACCATATATATGCCAAATTAAGGTCATTTCTCTAAGTGTATATCTAGTAATAGGGATAGGATATTCTTTTGGGGATTTAAGCATATCTATTTTACCCACAGGAGCTTTAAAATAGTTGTTTATTACTCTTACATTGGTGTTAGTCAACATTCTTACTTCAGGTATATTTTCTCTAGGCTAAAATTTATCATTTGTATATTAAAAATAAAAATCTACAAAAATATTTAATTATTTTACCATTAAACCAGATCCTACTTCATGTTCAACAAAACAAAAATCTTGTTCAATTGCATTATCATCAAAATTGTCATCAATATCAGCTAATAATTCTGATTTTGAATTTAAAGGAGTAACTGTTTTATTGGTTTCATCAGGGAAGTAAAAAACTTCCACACCTTTAGCACTTTGATTAGAATTTAAAGAATTTTTTTTTTTTAAATTCTTGTCAACAGAATTTTTTGTTTTATGTTCATCAATTTCTTCATGCATAGCTTCCATTATAAGACTTGATAATGAGTTATTATCAGAATCTGTATGCTCAGTTGATATAGTTTTTTCTTGATCAATTGTTTCAAAATCAGCTTCCCCTAGATCTGCAGAAACTTTATCTCCATCTGAAGCAATATAACTAATTAATTGACATAACGCAAATGCAGAATCTGCACAAGTTCTAATATGAATAACATTAATAGCTATTTTTAGATCTGTTTCAGGTTGTGTCAACATATTTGCTTGTTTTGAGTTTTTGCAGAATTTTAATGATAATTCAAACACACCCAAATCCATAACACAAATATAATTTGTCATTAAATCTATATTTTCTTCATTTGATAATCGAGCAGAAATAAAGAGAGCAACATCTTCTGAGACTATATGTAGTGTAGATGCTTTAGATCTTGCTACTATATTACTAGACAAACTAAAGTTTCCAATAGTCAGAACACATTGGTAAGGTAAATAAAGGGGCCTACAGAAAAATTAAAAAATATATTATTTAATGATTATTAAAATCAATATAATCTTATATCCTAATCATATACCTATAATCTATAAGACATTCATTAAAATGTTGGTGTAATTCTGTAATGACATGTGGGGATTCATATCCAGCAACTGGATAATCAACAACATCAAAAAAGTCTGATAATTGATAATACCAACTCTGAGGTACTATACTAAACACATGTTTTAGAGTAGTACCAAAGATTTCATTTGCTACTCGTATAGTCTAGAAAATAAATATTTATTAAAGAGGAATTTAATAATACCAAAAATTTAAAGTATACCTTAATATGATTGTGCACAGAAATCTCGACAACAATAGTTAACATATCAGTTTTATCAATGTCTGGTCTTTCTTTAAGATCCATCCCGAGAGGAACCTGATATAATGTACGTTTTAATAATTTATTTTTCTTACTTACAACTTCTTTAGGTGTAATAACTTCATTACCTCTAACTAAAAGATCTGTAAAACAAAAATACTGATATAGAGTAAATAAATGATATTCATTTGGTTCAAGGGAAATAAGCACAATTTTAAATGTTTAGTTAATCATATGAAGACCTAAATTCAGTAACAAAATAAGCGAGTGTAAACAATTTATTTTAGTAATTCACTAATTTTTAAATAAAAAACATAGAACATGAAATATATATTAACTTGTTGATATTTTTTATACATTTTTTTGGCGATCAATTTAATTTTTTTTTTTTTTTTTGCCATATTGATTTCTAGTCTACATATATCACTATGAATTATCAAACATACACATTTGTAAGGTAACTAAAAAAATGTCATAAAAACCAAATAAATATTAAACAGGTGTTACTGTAATATATGAAACGAGTAGTAAGGTAATATTCAATAGGATCTAAAAATAGTAAAATCAAAAGTATACATTATCATAATTTTAATTTTGACAGATACATAATGAGAAAAATTGAAATACCCCATTGATAATGTGATATTTTTTAAATTATTTTAGTGAAATCTGCATACACAATTTTACTTTTAAAATTTATCTTATATTTAATCTATGCAATACTGGCCAATCTTTTTTGAACACTTAATTATGTTTAAATAAATATTGACAAGCATAGTACTATATTGTATTAACAATCATAATTGATGTTGGAAATAAATAGTGTGCTGATTATACTAAAATAATTATTTCTAATTATCTTATTATAATAGTGTTTGGGACTTAATTAATTTATAAAACTTGTTTGAACCACTTACACCAAATTCTATAAATATTTATAATAGGAATATACAATATCACAGGAATTTTTTTTCTTGAATGAAGTGATATACAAATTCTGCTTAAAACTAAAATCCTAATTAATTATCCATTTATCATGGATGTACAAAAATTGGATACTAAAATAAACTTATTGATGCAAACCCAAACCCTAGTAATAAAGTTTAAAATATTCAATTCAATTTTGTGTTTGTTTTATTTTCCAAACTTAAAAATTAATTTTATTAATTTAAATTTTTAGTAGTTTTAATAGAAAAATTATAATTTGTTTGAATAAATAATAAAAAACAGAATAAAATAATGAAATAAAAAAAAAAAAACACATTTTTAATGGAGTTTTCCAGTATTTTCACATTATGTAAATGTCAAAACTAAAAATAAATTAAACCATTGAACTCCGATGGTTTATTTAACTCCAATTTCAATACAATTTAATGGGTCACTCTAAAATGAAATTATTTATTAATTTTAATCTCAAAAATGAGTGGTGGGGTTGGGTAGAAATTTGCAACAAATTAAGAGACCCCTTAATTTGTATGACAATTTCGTGGAAATTCCATGCCAATATTTATTTTTGATTTAAATAAAATTGGATGGGGAACCCTAAAAACCTTAATCTTGTAGATAGGAAATTATGGTTTTTGATTGTGCTATTTTTAGGTCCTATTGAATATCACCTTAGTACTCATGACATTTGTTAAAGCAACACTCTGTATAAAATTAATGCATCAATAAAAGTAACAAAAACATTAGGATATATTTTTCTTACTCTTATTATATATAATAATATTGTTATACATAATATTAAATTAAATTTTGATTTTAAAAGAATAGAACTATTAATATGAATTTTTTAGAAGGAAAATCAATATTGTCAGCTGTCTATTATAGATGCCTTAATAAATTTGTCAGCCTGAATTACAAATGTTGAAGGACTAAAATTTTTTATATCATAAGAATTAAAGATATGCTAATTTCCTTGTATCATTTTCATACCTGATAGAACTACAAAAACTGCATTATGACTCATACTTAACGGTATAATTAATAAATGTTGTAATTTATACTGATATATAATAATTATAATAATATAATACAATCTTACTTTCATGACTTAAACAAAATTTATTTGATTGAATACAAATAAAATTATGCCTAGGTGTATTTTCATATCCGGCAGCCATATATAAATTTAACCCATCAAACATAACTTGGAGTTCACCATAATGTTGTGGTATGACTCTACCAGAACGATCCTTTAATGAAACATCACAGTAATAAATATTAATAGAATTACTAAGTGTAAAAATTTGATTGACACATTTTTATACTAACCCTAGATTGAGTAACAATAGTAAACAAGCAATGCATAATATTTAAATTTAAACAAAATGTTGTACGTTTTACTAGAGGATCAGCAATATTCATTTTAGATTGTCCACATGAATAATATAAATCTGGTGATTCATCTTCAGATTCACTTTCAGATTCTAAATAAGAATTAAGGGAAAAGGTTTAGAATATATATATAATTATGCAAGTTCAATAACCACTATCATTTACCAAATTGTATTCCAGACTTGCAAGGTGAAAAATAACGAGTTGTTTCCAAGTTAGACAATTTATTTAGATTATTTATACAAGACGCAGCAGTAGGAAATGATGGTGACCAAAAAAACAAATCATTGGTAAACCTGAAAAAAATTAATAATTAAAATATTAATTATTGTAGATAAATATTAAAAAACAAACCTATTATAAATAGTTTCATAAAGATGTTTGGAGGGCAACGTTACAAAAACACATGGTAAATTAATATCCAAGAAAATTGTGGCACTAGTATTTGTAATGTTTACAAATTCCATAATTTCTTCTCTGGAACCAGGTACAACTTGAATTTCACCATCTTCTGATTTTTTTTCAGATTCATTACTTTCTGAATATTGATTTCTCTGTCTCATATTTTTTTTTGAAGCAAATGGAGATGGTTTTTTAGAGGATTCAACATAAACACTGCTAATCATAGTGTGTTCAACACTTAAATTACTTGCATTTGTCTTATCTAGATTACCAACCACAGGACAAAGTTTTAAAACCAATCTAAAGTACAATACAAATATAAGTTTTAAAAAATTAATATTAATATAGAAGTTAATAATGTGATGTACAAATTAAATTACTTAGGAAGCTGTTTTTTATCAATTCTAAGTGTTCTTAATTCATTATCACTACCAGAACATTTAGCTATTGGAATAACAATGTTAGAGTTAGCTTCTTGAAACAAAGCTTCAACTGATTTGCATTGCAATTCATATCCAGCTGAATTCAATTGTTGAGATAATTTGGTAAATGAACCTTCTGCATTGGTAAGATATAACCATAAAATATCATCTCGTAATACACGTTTCCACCATGGCAAACGATTAACATCACTTAACGGTCTAAGATCAGGTACTGGAAAGCTAAAAAAAAAAAAAAATGAAAGATAAAAAGGATGGTTACCTAAAATATATTTAAAATAATATAAAAATATAATATATTTTAAATATAAATCTATAAAAAAGCAATTACTATAGATTTTATTATCATGGAAAGTATATAAATTTAAAATGTATGAAATTTTAATTATATATATAAATAAAATACATGTTAAATGAAAATAATATAAAAGTTATAGTATATTTTTTATTTAGAATAGGGTTGTGATGAAGTTAATTGAAAACTTATAGTGTATGAATAGACATTATTTTATTACTTTTATATCTTGATACTGCAATTTGAATTTATCAAAACTTATAAAAACTTCTTTAAACTTAAACACCCAATTCTAATTGAAGGTGAAAAAATATATTACCGAAATTTTAAAACCAGATAGTTAAAGTTGATGGAGCAAACAATACTAGTTTCATTGACAGATCCAATTACTTCATTGAATTGAGGCTGATAAATCTAAAATACATTATTAAAAAATTTAATTTTGCATTAAAAAAAAAAAATAAATACACACCAGAAGCAGAAGTAGTATACATTATTCATAGGGACTTTGAATGTACAATTTACACTTCATAATTTATTTTAAAAATATTAATTACTTGATTATAGATTGTTTGTATAAAATATTTGTAATAAGAGGTTTGAACCCCAAACATACTACTTACCTATACACACATAGGTGTACTCACAATATTTTACAATACTCATTAGGGTGACTCTTAGCTACATGCGAGGTTTCTTTTTTTAATATTACAAAGTGCCATTCCCTAGAATTATTCGAATACATGAAAAAATAAATTGTACAAAATTTGGAGACGATTGGTCAACTCTAAGACGTGCCCCAAGGGGGTTAAAAATAACCCCCAAGGGGGTTAAAAATAAACCCCAAGGGTGATTTTTTAGTTTTTTTTGTCTATCTCAAAAACTTTAGCTTTTGCAAAAAAATTTATTTGGACTTTTTTGTAGGTATACAATTTTTCTATTAATAGTATATACAAAATTTTTCGAAAAGTTCTTATTTAGCCCTAAAAAAATAAAAACGTATATGTTCTATTCTTACCGTTAGAATTATTAATTTATCAATTGTTCATTGTAAAAACAAAAAAAAATTAATTTAGCCGTTGTTTTAAATTTAATTTTCTATACATTTTTAATTCGACATTTTTTCTATTATTTACTATTCAAAACCTACAATTTTTTTAATTTTAATAATATTAAAATTATACGGTTTTTCTTAGTATCATCATAACTTATAGAGCCATAAAATTTATGTTGTTTATAGGCTAATAAAAAAGTCATTTTCAAGATAAAGTTATTGATTATTATTTTTAAACACTTAATTGTTTTCTTTTATCTGGTATTCTTGAAAAGATGAGTCTACATATATAACCAGCTAAAATTTTGATATCCAAGATTAAGATGAAAAGTTTAAATCATAATCAATCAGCTTTCGTTCGTTGTTCATGAATTTCATATTCAACAATTTTCTTATATTTTATACTTACGTTTTTAATTATACAACTTAAAAAAAGTTTAGATTTAAATAATTTTTTAAAAAATGGCTTCAACATCTAAAATGAACCTTCGTGATACAAATAAAATTTATTTAATTGGTTATATGTCAAATCAAATTGTCGGCAGTAAGTTGCCATTAAATAAACAAGTACTATGTGTTCTTTTTTATATCATGCGCGTAGTTAATTTAAATGTTCACGATAGTGCTTGATTAGTGTACAATGAAATCGAAATTTTTTGTCTGATAATGACTTTCTAGTCGCATATTTTTGTAATTTTCTCCATTCATTGTATAATGATTCAATTTTTTTAACGGAGTGACATTTTTTTAATAGGTATTCTGGCTTTTTGGCAAAAAATTTCGATTTCATTGTATACTAATGAAGCACTATCGTGAACATTTAAATTAACCACGCACATGATATAAAAAAGAACAATGAACGATTGATAAATTAATAATTCTAACGGTAAGAATAGAACATATACGTTTTTATTTTTTTAGGGCTAAATAAGAACTTTTCGAAAATTTTTGTATATACTATTTATAGAAAAATTGTATACCTACAAAAAAGTCCAAATAAATTTTTTTGCAAAAGCTAAAGTTTTTGAGATAGACAATAAAACTAAAAAATCACCCTTGGGGGTTATTTTTAACCCCCTTGGGGCACGTCTTAGAGTTGACCAATTGTCTCCAAATTTTGTACAATTTATTTTTTCATGTATTCGAATAATTCTAGGGGGTGGCAATTTATAATTTTTAAATTTTATAAATAAGGGACACCCTAATACTCATGTATGTAACTGCTCATTATAATGATTTACACAAAACAATTTAGCATTGAATATTTTGAAACTTACATTAAAAGACGACTTTTTAGACATTTTAAAATCTGGGCTATGAATATATGAAGACAAACGATTTATAATGGAAATGTCCACTTCAGAAAATGCTTCTTGCATATGAACCCTGAAATTTATAATTAGTTGAATGGTTATTACAACTTTTAAATAAGAAGTGAATATATTTACTTGATATCAGAAGAAACAGGATAACATGATCTTGAGGATTTGGTATTATGCTTAAAATTAAGATGAAAATCTGGCTGATCAATATTTGATGTTTTCGCATGAAATTCATTTTCATCTCGTACAAATCTTAAAAGCTACAACAGTTATTGATAAAAAATAACAATTAAAAACATAATATTAATAAGTAATGGATAATTTATTTATATAACAAAATATTATCATGTTATATATTTTTTAAGTTAAAATAAACTTCATTTATAAATTTAATTAAAAAAAGAGGTTTAACATTTAAGATTATTTTACTTGACAATTTAAAATGAAAATTTGACCGAGTAAATTAGTATGAATTGAAATTAATTAATTTCTCAAAAAAAGTTAATATTAGCATTTCTGAATTTTAAATAAATATAGTTTTACCAATTATTATAATTTATTTAATGTTAATTGCTTAACTGAACAAATTTTTAGGTTACAAACAGTAATACAAAAATTATAAGCTAATTTTTTACATTATTTTATAATTTACCATGGCAAATTAATGATATCTGTACGAAAAATTAAAAATATTTCTTACATGAATATACTGAGGATCATATTGAGAAGAATCTATAAGAACTTCTATGATTTCTACAGAACTTCCCATGATATTTATATTAACATCTTTATAAGTTTCATCAGTTTTTTCATCACCCTCTACAATCAATTTAGTTGCTACCACTCTTATATGGTTTTTATTTAAAGATTTTGTAATTTTATCCCTGTCTTTAAGGGAGTCAGAACTTTGCACACTCATTAAATATTGGTGAGATATTTTTCGCAATTCATTTAGTGAACATTGAGTAACTGTATCAGTTTCAGGACATACTGCTAAGATGTCTTCATGTAAAAGCACTATACAAATTGATGCCAATTGCACATTAAAGTGATTTGTTTCACCTAACCATTCATGTTTACCTAAAATTAATTAAAAAGAATAAATAAATAAATAACTATTCATAAAAAAACTTTTAAAATATTACTTTTATTTTTATGTCTTGTGTGTCGTGATGATAATTCAGACCTACTATAATAATAAAAATAAAATAATTTAATTAAGAAAATTCTCAAGTAATAATAAGAACAAAAATTACCTGCTAGCAACACTACTCATACTAGAAGTCATTGATGAATCCATACTTGGTAAAAAAATATTTTTTTTGGCACCTTGTAATGGATAAAACTCTTCTTCATCTAAGAACAATTTTTCAAAAATTATATATGAATTATGATAAAAATGTATATTTAATTATATTTTTCTTGCATTATTAAAAAAAATTAGTCAAGTAGGCACAAATACAGAAGAATTTTTATTTTTTTAAAGAAGAATAAATTCATGAATATAAAATGAACTAAATAATAAAAATAAAATACCATGTAAATATGACCATCCTTGCATTCCTCTTAAACCAACACTAGTATCAGGCTTTGGTTCAATTTGGTTTAACAAATCCAATTCTATATGGTTAAAATCAGATTCTGTCATTGGTTTTTGCACAGGAACACATTGTTTTTTTTCTGTTAAAGGTCTAGAAACACCTTTTAAAAGTTCTAATACTACATAAAATTGTCTTGGAGAAAGTAAAACATTGAGGGGTCCAAAGATTATTTCTAAACTTAATTTAGGGCCAGGTAGACTAGGATTATGTTTTAGTACCATTCGTATAGCCTGAGTTCCAGTCAATTCTGCAATAGTTATAGGTTCAGTACTTAATAATTTTGATATCTGCAAAGTTTATACCAACAATGAGTTAAGAAAAATCAAAGTAAAAGAAAAAAAATATTGACTAAAATAAAATTTTAAATTCTGAAAAAATTAATATTAGTTGTAAATTTGGAAAATAATAAAACAAACATGATAAACAATTTATTTATATGTAAAAAATGATATTTATATAATATATATCAGAACTTGGACAAACAAATCTCTTATTTTTAGGATATAAATAAAAACTAGGATAGTGGAGTGCAGCATAGTTGAGACTTGTATAAATTATATCTGATTAACATCAATATATATATATATATATATAACTTTGCTACAAATTTGTTAAATTTTACAAAAATTTGTGTATTTGTAATTTTTCCAACAATAGTAAGATTGTTTTTTTAATATTGTAATAATTTTTAAGAACTTTAATTTAATATACGTTAAAATAGGGCAGAGAGTTCAAAAAAATAATAATAATATTTTTAGATATTCAATGTTANAGAGGATAGGTTTAATTAGATTAAAATCAAATTTTTTTTACATATTGATCATTAAAAACAGCCCCCAGTATATGAGTTAAGAATTTTCATGGATAGACATAAAAAGACCACACACACCATCACAAAACCAATATTACAATAACTTCTCTGCTTCACATCAAAACTAAAAACTGATTTACAAAATTAATTAATAATTATTAATTAAACTGTATTTTATAATATAGTTACAATTAAAATAATTATTTATTATAGATAATAGTAATTCCATAATCCCAATTAAAATCTTGATACTATTTCAATACTTAAAATGAAAACATAAAAATAATAATTAAAATATGGCTTATACAACTTAATATTTTTAATAATACTTTTAATATTATTATTTTAGAAATAAAAACTGTAATTCCACGTTATTCCCAATGTCCTTTCTGTCTGGGTGAATCAATAAAAATGACACAATGATGTCAGAATTAATTAAATAGGTAAATAATGGAATATTAATGCAGCTTACTAAATTTTCATTATGTGCTGACTGACATTTAAACTCATAGGTCTGTAAAAATACTCCTTCAATCATTAACTTTTTTGTTAAAAATGCTAAACTGTCAAATACAATTCCTTCTTTTGATTCATCAGCCACTTCATCAATATATTCTAAACTGTAAAAAAAATATACTTAATATTTTCTACTCTATAGATAAGAAACTTTTAAAAAGAAAACAAATTTAGTTAATGTATCATTCAATAAATATTTCAATGACATATAAATTATTTAATCATTCATTGAATTATATATACAAAATAAAATGGTTCTTCATTTAATAACTAAAAAATAGGTCCCATATAATTTTTAAAATTTTTCTGTCTGAGCTTTGCTATACATTTTTCTATTAATAATTTTCAAACTACAATTAAAATTCAACTCAATTCAGTAGAATTCCAATTATTTTAATATCTAGATGTTTTCTATATTCAAAATCAATAACAAACCTGATGATGTGTAATTGGAGTCCTATTCCTAATTTAGAGAATGCTGGGTTATATTCTAATTTTATCACAGTATTTGAAAATTTTACTTTAATTCTATTTAAAACTGAAAATTAAAAAGACATTGATTTAACAATTATTAAAAAGGAAATATCAAAACTATTTTTACTAGATTCTATAGCTTGAGTAAATACTTCCAATCCTGAGACTTGCTCAGATTCTGGTGTATTTTCAAAAGTATCTTCATAATCACTGTCTGGTGAAGAATATACACTATTTGACATGGAAGACCAAACTGATTCTAACATAGAACTAGGTATTCCTGAAAAATCGTATTTATGAATTTTAGAATTTTATAAGTTTTTATCATAATTTTGCTTACCTTCAGTTTCTTTTACATTAGGTCGAACAGTTAGACTGAGCCCTTCTATATGTATTATACTTGAATCTGTAAGCATATTCCTCCATGGTACTGATAATGAGATTTTATCCACACTACTTTCTACAAATTCAAATGGCAATAGATTTTCTTCCCCAACATCATTAAGTGCCTGCAAAAATTAATAATTTTGTAATAAATATGTAAAATGTAGAAGTAATTTAAATTTAAGAAATACACTACATTAATTATTTGAGTTAAATATCATGTGATTCTTAAAAAGGTAAATATATATTTGGTTATTTAATATATCTTCTAAAATAATTTTTAAAACTGAAAGATTAACATTGATTCAAATATGGTTAATTAAATTACTTACAGTAAAAATTTTAATTAAGAATTTGACATCAACCATTATACAGAATAGTTTTTTTATGATAAACCATACAATTAATAACAGAATAAAAATTTTTAAATATTTTTTTTCAGTTACCTTTAGTTACATTATTCTTGAATTATTAGCTATGTAACACTTTTTAAATTGATCCCTTAAGCATCGTAAAAGTATCAACTTTGTTTTTTCAAATAGGAACATATNTTGATCCCTTAAGCATCGTAAAAGTATCAACTTTGTTTTTTCAAATAGGAACATATTTTTAGTATAATAAAATGTTTGAGGTTTTATTTTAATAGTAAATGACATTTAAATTTTTATAATAACATCATTAATTTATTAGATATAAAACAGTTTTAAAATTTTGATTTATTATACATGTATAATATATGACAGATCACAAATATAGGTAGCTAATAATTTTTTTATAATGTCGTTATATGTAAATACTCCGCATTTATAGTTATTTATGATTTTATCAATAGATATACTTAAATTATGGTAATAAAGAATATTGTTGGAAGTTTAGAAATAAACCAATTGGCAATACAGAAAGCATATTTAATGATAGTCATAATTGACAATAAACACACACACACACACACACACATATATATATATATATATATATATTCTATTTTTATTTTTCCAACTTTAAAAATAAATATTGATTCTATATCTTAATGTCAATAATCCGTTTGAAACAAAGATTATTGCTATAAAAACAATCTAATATAATAGTATGCTTACCTGGACATCAAGAACAATATCTTCAAGAGATACTGAACCATCTAAAACATTGATAGATAATTGGTCAGGTTCTATTTTGTGCTCAAGGAAACGTCCAACATAGCGTTGCAATAAGTATCGGCAGCATCTTTTCTGCAAATTCTCCGTACAATAATTGAACCAAGACATTCTTTAAGGCTCATGTAAGGCAAGTTGTTAACTTTTTAATAATCTTAATCTGGAAGGCTATAAAATAGTTTAACTTCATAAGGATTCCTTGCACTCACGTTTAGTAAAATTGACCTTTGAGCTAACATACGATCTGTTTTATATTCAATATCTCATTTAAATTTAGCAGCAATGAATAACAATCAAGTTAAATATTCAGAACCGCAACAATTTTTTAAAAGTCAAGTTCGCCATTCAAATGTTTCTATCTCCCACTATTAATCCTGTACAATATAAGAACAATGTATATTATTTCACAGGAGAATGGACAAAAAAACATAACTAACGGCCACACTTTTAGTATAACTCGACGAAAATATACGTCGAACAAAATATAATTGCGTTTTGCAAACTCGCAACCGTAGTCGCGTGTGAAACAAAGGAATCACAGCAAATATCCCCACCACGAAACATTTATCACGCGTTCCGAACAAAAACAATAATAAAAAACATATGATCGACCGCTGACTGTGTCCGACCAATACGTACAAAAACATCCGCAATGCGTGCGCATCATTCTAATAATCAACTCTGCTCACATTCTTCTTGCGCCTTAACCCCATCATTTCTGCCGTCACAATTACGACTTTGTGAGATATTTATAAAAAATAAAATTTACACCTACGTGGTGCCTTGGAAGCTTGTGATTGGTTCATTTATATTTTAACGCGGAAACGTTTTATGATATATTTTTGTTTGGCAATGGAACAAAGACGTGATACAATGCAAATGTAGAGCTACTATTAAAAATTTCGCTATATTTTTTAGTGAGAACATGAAACAATAATTTTTACGTAATCTGTTATCATTCAAGGTGATGTTATCATGTACAGCACGTGACAAAAAAATCTTATTGCTACAATGATACGACACAAGTGTTATTTTATCTACTCTAATGCAATTATTGCATTATTATAAAAATTATTATCCTACTAAATTTAGCTTGGTCAGATGTCCCAAAGCTAAAAATATGGATTGGTAAAAAATTTATTTTTTCCAATTGTATAGTTTTTTCTAATTATGCGACTTTTTAAAAATACAAATTTTCTCTAGTATGATTATTAAATAAAAAAAATTAAGCGCCCCCCTCTAAAATTAATTCTGAATACGTCTCTGGTAAATACCTCAGTAAACAAATGTCAATCTTACATTCAACACATTGTACTATTTTCTTTTTTTTAATTTTCTTCATTTTAATAAATAATTTTTTAATATATATTTTAGATTCAATGTACAGCTGAGAAGATATTAATTTTACCATTATGTGTTTATTTTTAAATAATTTTTTTGTTGTCATGTTCGTCACTATATTACTCAGCTCTCATTGAAATTTCTTTCATTGATACTTTCAAAATATCACAAATCGTATCTAGTCGAAGACATTACCCTCGAAAATTGAAAAAATTACCTTCATTTCTCGTAAATGGGGGAAACCTCCAAAAAAATTACAATTTTAAAAATCGCTAATTTTTCAATTTTTAGCTTTGATGCGAAGCTGAGATACTAAGATGTGTTTTTTTTACTTAAAATTGTCATCATTTTTTTAAAAATGGCCACATCAATATAAATTTTTTTTTATAGATGCATGATGTCCTTACCTAAGGTCTGACACTTTTATATATATCTTAAATTAAAGCTAATGTAATATACTTTATTATGAAAAAAAAAAAAATTGACCTCTGGACTTGTCTTCGTGGTGAAAATAGACATCAAAGTTAATAAAAAATTACGATTTTTGTAAAATAATTCTTTTTTATATTTTTAACTTAATAATGCTATAACTTTTCGGAAAATGTATGGATCAGTAAATTTTTTTTTTTATAGATGCTTGATGTCTTTACCTATCATTTGGTATACATTTTTTATAAATTTAACCCTTTATCTGCCCACAGGGGGGATTTAAAATGACAACTTTTTCACAATAAATTTACTTTTACATTTAACTTTTGAAAGTGTTCCGGAAAGTCTGACACTTTTATATATATCTTAAATTAAAGATAATGTAATGTACTTCATTATAAAAAAAAAATTGACCTCTGGACTTGTCTTCGTGGTGAAAATAGACATCAAAATTAATAAAAAATTACGATTTTTGTAAAATAATTTTTTTTTATATTTTTAACTTTTTCAAAAATGACCAAATTAATATAATTTTTTTTGTATATAAATACGTGAGGTACTTACCTATCATTTTGTATATTTTTTTTATAAATCTGACCCTTTGTCTGCCCATAAGGGGGAATACAAAATGACAACTTTCTCACAAAAAATTAATAAAAAATTAACTTTCTAAACTTAACTTTTAAAAGTGAAATACTGAAATTTTTATATATACCTTAAATTAAAGCTTATGTAATATACTTTATTATGGAAAAAAAAATTTTAAGACTTTATTTTGTCTTCACGGTGAAAATAGTTACCGTATGCTATAATTGTGTTAAAATTCTCGATTTTATATTTTACATTTTTAACTTTAAAATGCTATAAAATTTTGAAAAATGTGTGGATCAATACAATTTTTGTATGAGAAATGATATTTATTTATTCTTTTATTGGACTTACTTTTTTTTTTAATCGGATCATTTCCCTTTATACAAGGGTAATTCAAAACTTTAAAATGCGTATAGAAAGTAGAACTTTTTAAAATAATTTTTATTTAAAATATATTTATTGATTTTTCATACATAAATTTATCAAACATAAATATATGTTATAATGATTAAAAGGTTTTTATTATTATTTAGGCCATATGCGAGACACTAATTGCAGATTTGAAATCAGTGCAAAAATGGGTATAGTAAAGTATATTTTGGTATCTGATGAAAATTCCTTGTAGACCAGTAAATTTATTAATAAATAATAAACAATTTTTTTTTAAGTGTTGCATCAAAACTTTTATATACGTTTTTCATAAGTAATAACTACTTTATAATTTTTTATAAATTCTCCGTAAAAATTTCAATATTAAATTATTAAATATCAATTTCATACTACATTTAATTGATATAATAAATAATTATATACATAAATGATAAAAATAATATAATAATACTAGGCTCCGTCTAGCTGGGGCTCGGCCCCAGACCCGGGACCCTTCGAGCATTACGCGCCTTCGGCGCGTAAGCCTCTTCGGGCCGTCATCATAAGTAGGCCACTGATTCCGGTAGAAGTACCCGGCTACGCCTGGCACGATAAGTGTTTTTCAGAAAAAATATTACTTCAGAATCAGTGAAAACTATAGAAAACTATATCTAAAAATGTTATTATTAAAATCAGGAAAATTCAAAAAGAGAATATAGTAAAATGTATTGGGTATAAGGTTGAAGCCTCTTAATGAGGTATTCCCTTTAGGCCTATTCAAAAATTATTTTAGGAGGAAATTTAATATTTTTTACTTTGTTAAACATGTTTTAGAAATTTTTTTGCTAAAATTAAAGTAATGATGAAAAAAAAGGACATCAGGTCTTTATATATTAGAAGTTGCCTAAAAAAATATTGATAGCGCTTGTTCAAGGAGGGGCCAATCTCTCTTAAATACACCCCTGTTATACACAAAAATTATTAATAATCTAATTATAATAATTGTGTTTATATTATAGAATAATT